GCTACCACACGTGTGTCAAGTCAGCAGTTAAAAGGATGTTTTTTCAGGCAGGGAGAGCTTTCCTCTATACTGCATATCTCAACTCACAGCAGTGTTCTTGGCTGTTACACCTTTGGCTGTTTATATACTACAGAACGGGAACCTTTGCTGTGCAGGAGTCATTCATGAAACAACATCCTACGAGTGCTGTTTTTAAACTTGCCAAATTGGTAAGGGTACAAAACTGTTGAGGAAAAGCATGCTAGGATATTATAAAAGCACAGTGGATGTTTCCAGTGTGGACTAAGTCTAATTGCAAAGAAAATATCCATTAGGAAAAAAAAAACACCAACAACCTTGGGTCCCAAGAGTTCTGTATTAGATTTCATTCACCATTAACTGCTTGCTGGTTGTTGTGATAACATTGTGTTCCGTGAAGTTGAAAGGCCATAATGTTTTTCATGTTAGGAAAGGAAATTCTCCATTTAAAAATCAAGTACAAAGGGTAGGCTTCGTCCACGTACCTGCAGATGAGTAAACAGTCTACACGCTTCACTTTTAGATGGTACGGAGGTCACTGAGGTGAGTCCCAGACAACCCAAACTTGTTAAATCCAAGTGATTTATACCATTAGTGCTGCTCGTTTTTCCCTGGGCTACCAGTAGCAGACAATCACCTGCAAAAACACTCAGTTTTCCATCTCTGTAGCCTACAGGAACCTGGGGGCAAAACCTAACTGCAAACCCTCGATTTCCAAAACCCCATGTTTCCAGAGTGAGGGTCCAAAGGCTGACTTAGTTGAGGGAACAATAATCAGCAATAGCTGGGCATACCCTGCATGACCACAACTGCTCCGAGAGTCACAATCACCAAAGCTGATAAATCTCAGAATGAACACCCCAGTGTCTTTTAACAGTTGACTGACCGTGACTGCAATGCCATTGCAAACCAGAGTAAATACCGTATGTGCCAAGGTCTTTGCTGCATCGAGAATCTCCAAATTGGGCTTAGTTCACACGGAGGACGTCCCTACTGTACACAATGGCACACTCACTCCTTCGGGCTGTCATTGGATGAAGAATGGAAAGGCAACAAGCCGAACAGAATTAACAAGTTAATAGAGAATTAAAATCATATGACAACTTCTTGTCTTGGTGTGCATTTACTGACTGTGCCCTTTATGACTCAGTACAGCATAACAGTATTTTCATAGTGCAATCTGTAGCTTCTTACAAAGCTTAAAACAACTTTTAAGGGCTCCAGAAACCAATAAAAAGAAGATCCCCATCACAATGTCAGATTGACGTATATAACTGTTTCCTTGCAGATGTTTTTTTTTCACAATTCTACTTGTCTTTAGCTCTGTGTCTCCTCAAACCGGGATGCTTCTAGCTCAAAGGGATGCTCAAAGAAAGGTTCAAAGGAGGTCACAAAGTGTTTACACTACTCAGAGAACAGCTAATTGCCTAGCTGCTGCCGGCAATTAAAGGTAGTTACCTGTTCCCCAGAGAATGTAAATACTTGCAGCTATTACAGCCACTTTTCCATCCTCCTAATGTGGAAGGACTTCTCACCCTCTGAGAACAGGGAAATGCTAATCAAAGACAGAGGGCCTCAAAAGGGAGGCACAGCCAGAGAAACACTGCATTAGATGATGCTTCAGCAGTCCCAGTTCCTTAAGGTTTCACGATTATGCAGTGTTTTCTTTCCATGCTCACACTTCAGACAGGGTGAAATCAGACCTTCAGACTCCCCAACATATAAATTCACTGTAAAATACAGTAAAGCCCCACAGCAACAACAAAAAGACCCCAAACCGCACAGCCCTCAACACTTAGTAAATACTCAACTACTAAGTTAAGGAGCGTCCACGCATTTATTTGTCTGGAATTGAGAAGGAAAAAAAAAAAGAAATCTCACTTTTTGTTGTAACACTCTGTCCTGCAGGCATAAATTACAGCATCTGTTTGAGGTTTTCCAAGTAACCAGAGCATGTTCTGGGAATTCCTGGGAATGCTGGGCTCAGAGCAGGTAAATGGAACACAACTGGTTCTGCCAACCCAGAAAAACAGATGCTGTAGCTTACATAAAGCTCCAGGAATTGGATGACTGAAAGGAAAGTATTAGGGAACTGCAAAACCTCAGCGGATCAATAGATTATGGATGTTGGCGACCTCCTTCTCAGCATACTCAACAAGTGCAGAAAGCTTCCTATGGTCGCAGGCACCTCCATGCTATTCCACTTAGAGGCCGGCTTCCTTTGTTAATCTTCATTCAGTTCTGGGACAAACACTTTGGCTGAGCCAGTTTGCTTCCTGGTCCAGCTCTGCCATTAGCTGTCTCCTAAAAGCCGTGTTTACGTTTCAGCGTGAGCAACTGATAATAATTTGTTAGTGAACAACTGTTTCCTAATACTTCACATCAAAAGCGATTAGCCATGCAAACATTTGTTAACCTTCCCGACACCCTTCCATTACGCCCTCCCTCCACGTTACTCATGTGGAAAAGTTCGAGTATTAAATGCAGTTTGCGTTTGTTTAGACTTTTTCCCCTTTTTTTAAGATCTCATCACATCATGGATTTATATCAGGTTGACTTCAACCGCGGTGCGACATTTTCCAGCTTCTCGCCCTCCGGTTACAGCTGCCGTAGCCTTGCCTTTAATTTGCACGGGGGGAGGGAAGTTCACTGGAGTTGCTTCAAGGCCCACAAACTGTTGACACAAGGCAGACATGAAATGCCTCATTGAACCAACTCCAGGCCCAATAAATGCAAACAATTCAAAGCTGAAACTATCTGGCAGCTGTGGCTGATTTGAGAAATCTTTTGTTGTGCCAGGAAAATCTTTTCCTTCAATGAGGTTGTCCCTGGAATACATTAGGAGCCACAAAACACGGAACAATATCCTCGGTAAAGAACTTTTCTTCTCTGTAGTATCACTTAGGATACGCTGGAAAAATTGTGTCCCACAGGAAGGCTGAGGAAACCCTGAGATGCCAGCTTAGGTTTAAAGGCCTGTCATCACACGGAGCTGTTCGCATGAGTAGGCAGTGACCTACAGCTGCAAGCAAACATGAAATCACCAGCAGCAAGTGGACAAGGGAAAAAGGCTATCACACACACCCAGAAAGCATAAACACCTGCATATTTCTTCGGGATTAAGCAGCAGATTTACCATAGCTACATATTCCTGCTGGGTGGCATCAGCTACCACGTGGTTTTGCAGCACTTCTTTCTAAGGAGGTTGCAAAATAGGTGGAGGAGCAGCGACAGGAGCTGCTTCCCTTGCCCCGTGCAGAGGGGGGAAGGCGGCCGTGTTGTATGGAGCCCGGCCAGCTGTGCCAGGTAAGTGCGGCAGCAACTTTAATGGGAAATGCAGGTCAGAGCTTAATCAAAGTACCTTGGATTTCATGCCATGGCATTCTCAAAATGCTCCACCTGTCATCTCGGGGGAGATGTGGGCAGCTGTGGGATCTGCTCCTCCACCTGCAGCCGTCAGCCCGTGCGCACGATGCTGGGTTTCCCTTGCTGACTGTCACCTTTGCACAGACACACGCGCCCGCACGGCGCTGAGGTGTCCTGCTGCTGCACGGCTGCAGCGTGTCATAACGCGTGCCTCCGCAGTCATAAACGCCTCTGGAAGAGTGGCATCGTAATGAAAACCTCACCACAGGCTGCTCCAAGAGAAAGGCAGTCCCCGAAAGATCCACAGTAATGCCAGCCACTCCTCACTTGGCACTGATATTTTGTTTTATAATCACGTTACTGAAAAGAGAGCTATTTGCTGTTACAGATCATTTCTTAGAGTTGGCACAAAGTACAAATTCACTACAGATTTTTGTGACTTGCAGCCTCAGGAACACGGCTACTTCCCCGGAAAGGACAAAACCAGCTTGCATCCTCTCACTGACGAAAGCTGTGTGAATGCCACCAGTCATGCTCTGCTTGGGCAGCTGCCCGAGCTCGCCAGCCTTCTAAGGGGGAAGCCAGTGGACAACAGGCTGCTGTATTGAGCACATCTACAAAACCGTACCTGTGCCCTCATTTTCATAGCCACGCGTCTTCACAGAGCCTCTTTTCAAAGGGGCCTGACCAACGCGTGAGAGCAGCAGCTGCTTTCTTGGTGAACTGAATTTCTTGGTACAACTCAACGTTGTACATCTTTAAAAAAAAGTAATGGCTCTCTGATGAAATCGACAAAACTATCTTTCAGTTCTGTTGTAGAGAGCCCAACAACGCAGCTTTAGCAAAAGGAAGCAGACAACTGCAGGACATTACCAGCAAAGCAGCAACACATGTGAAGCTTGTACTCGAACAGCACGTTCTAATTTAGGTGGGCAGAGTATCGTCAGCTCTGGCAGCCGTACCGTACCTGTCCCATCTGAAGCCTCTATGCAGTTAGAAATAAGTTTCAGGAGGTGCTTCACATTGCATTGCTTCCATCTGCCTGGTGTGTAAGACATTTGTGGTAACAAACACAAACCAGCCTCCAGCTGTGATTTGTGCCCATGCATTTAACGTTGGTTTGCTTTATTTTGGAACTGGCCACGTAACAGCGATGGCTCAGGCTCCAGGAACACTGCTAATAACCCCAGCTGGGTGTCACCTGCGGGCAGTGATTTTCAGGGGAAATTCAGGCTTTGGTGGGCTCAACAGCAAGGACACCTTCTGGTTTGAACGGCAGGACAGTATCAGCCACGGGTGTGCAGTGACTCGGATCTGCCTCAGCTCTCCATTTCCCGTGTGCTCTGCCTCTGCAGTTCCTTGTTGCCAGCCACCTGATGAAAACCAGTGCCTGTGAAAGAAAAAACTGGTACCACGAAACTCAGGAACACTATGGAGGGGGGAGGCACAGGCAAAAAAAGTGAGGAGGGAAAACTTACAGAGTGAGTTCTCCACCACAAAATAATTTTCTTAATACGTCTTCTAGTTGCCTCATTTTGTAGATGCAGCATTTCTGTTAGCCTTTTACGTGATCCCAGTATATAAATATGGTATGGAAAGACAAGAAGACAAGTACATATGTTCTGTGTATTTATAGCTGATAAAAACTGTTGAGTGCCTTGCAATTTAAGAACCAGCTTTCACCCAAAAATGCATCAGCAGTGTAGCCAAGAAGTTAGAGAAAATTAGCTTAAAAAATTCCAGTTATCAAAAAATCCCTACTATCACAAAGGAAAGTTTTTCTAATGCATCATCTATTGTAACTGAAATTGCTTGAAATACAGCCAAACCCTTGTATATAAAATTTAAATTTGCCTGTTAGAAACAATAGGAGTTTATCAATACATTATGGTATTTCTCAGTGGCCCTGTAAGATCCAAAAAGTTCTAATATGTTTCTATTCTACTACCACGTTTTTCTCTGTGGAAAGGGAGGCAAAGATAAAAATGGGTATTTGGGAAAAAAAGGTCTGTTCTTGAAACTACAAACATGACATACCCATACATCGTCATTAACTTGGCAGTGAAATCAATTAAAATGTAGGCACTGCATTGAATTTTGAATTGAATTTTTGAATTTTGAATTCAATTCCATTTTTGAATTGAATCCATTATGATTCAAGAGTTAATGGACATGCACAGGTCACATTACTACAGAAGCAGGATCTCATAGCCAGCAGCAAAGGTAACAAAGTGAGAACCCATGAACACAGTTTGAAGCACTAATGCAAGCATGGGTTAATTTCTGGCATTTTATTACTTACCTCATATTTTAGGGTGATTTGACCTGACTAATATATAGGATCCCTAGTGAAAGTAAAGCTCTCTCTCATGGGGAAATCTGTATTGTGCTTTTTTCAAGGAGACATCAAGTTTATACCAACCTTTGGAGATTAGCTTAGCTAGGAAATTAAAAGACCTACTTCTTTTTTTTTTTGGTTGTTTTTAAAAAATTCAGTTTTTGTTGCTTATGTTTATTCTGTATCACAAAATAAATGCATTGCACTTCTGCAAACAGATGTTAAACACTACTTTTTTTCAAGTACAGCACACATACACACACAAGTTTATCCAGTGATAATTGATGACAAAATAGATCTTACCTTTTACAAAAAGAAAGCTTGGGTTTGTGGCAAAACTTTAGAAAAGGTGAAACAACCACCAAATTTTTATAAAAAGCCAGTCTGGCAACAATAACAGATAGTAGGTCTTATCTTACTTGGCAGCTCTTAAGTAGTTCTGATTATTAAAAGCAACTGGAGAGGCCTCCCCAGAAGGAGACCTGCTTTCTCTTTAGTTATCCTTTATAAAAATATCAGTCTGCGGGACAATGAATATGAAAATAAATGACATGTTGAGAACAAACATGTCTCAAGGTGAAAGGAGACCAATGACCATGTTCTTTCAATCATCCACTAGCTACTAAGCCATCAGTTATGATGCAGATGACGATTCTGATGTCCGTGAGGAAAGCACTTGCATGGTGTTACAAGTCAACCAGCTAAAATCACTTCAGAGATGTCACTGAAAAGTCCCTGAATGGTAAAAACTGCTGGTTGGAATGAAACTCTAACACAGAAGTTCCCATTGCCCAGCACCGACATTGTTTGGTCCCCATTTACCTACCAGGTAAGATAAAAACACACGATATTTGCAAATGCTTACACCGAGAGAGGCTATCACCCCACATTGATTAAATTTAGCCCAGAAAGTATCCCTTGGAGCTGAACGTTTCAGCATGGAGAAACGTGGAGTCACTGAGAAAAACATACAAAGGAACTTGAGTGAAAAAGTTACAGATCTTCCTGTGAGGATCAGTCCAGTCCAGAAGCATAGTTCGTGTAACATCGAAATTCATTAGCTAAATTTCGAGAGTGTTTTGGAATAAACTTGCATATCTTCACACCAAGAAGCTTTGCTGCCTGTTCCTCCATGACTGCACCTGCAGCAAAAATAATTAGTATTTGGTGAGAAACACAGCAACAGAACGTTTGGACTTTTTGATTAGCTCCTCACAAATGCGTATGCAGAGAACCAGCTTTTTTGAGGGAGCAAGGCTTAAAGCAGTGACACCTTCAGCTCTCTGACAATTGAAGTTGTTGGGAAATCTAAATCTGAAAGAACTGAAGAAGCTCCAAGGAAATGAATGTCATAAAAGTTTCATAAAAATAGGCAGAAGGAAAGATCATTGCCCCCTTTATAAAAAACAGAGATTTGAACTCCATCTTCTTGCTGCATGCCAAAGAATTACATGGTGGGGAGCCATGGGAAATGCAAACAGATTACATGTACTCCTCTACTTAAATAAACCACAGCGTGTTATTTATAGCTGCACACTGAGAAATCACTTTCTTGAGCAGTATTTGTCAAACTTTGTAAACTGAAGGACCACCTATCCATTTCAGGGAAAAAAAATCTGAGAGCTATCCTTGTGCATAACTGCCATTTACAAGTAAACAAAGAAGTAGGCTTTCTACGTCCGCATACTATTTTCATTTTTCTCTATTTTGCCTACTTGGTCGACTGCCCAGAATTGTCTGCAAGTATGCTTTTTGTCCTTTGTTGTTTTTGCAAAAGTTACTTGGATGTTTTCAGATGTCTTGTAGTGAGATTACAGCTTTAAGAACCACCAGGACCATGGCAGATACTCGCAGCCTCTTAAAACTTGCGAGTGCATCTCATGAAGAAGGGGCCTAACAATGCAGCCGGCAAATCTTCCAGTTTCACTGCTGCGATCACTGATTTTTAATTCCTCCTGCTGCATTTCAGTGCCTAAGAACCAATTACCTGAATCACAGTGAAGAGTCGTCGTATATTCATTCACATTACAATTTCTATATTTACCTGTAAAGGAGCCAGTGATATGAGAAAAAGGAAGTGTATTTTTTGTGTTTTTCTTTTCATGGCTTAGCTAAAATCATCCCACTTTACTACACAAAGGCCATTCCAATCTATTTGTCCTTCTTTCTGCTTAGCTCACCTTTGTTTTTCTAAACATACAGTAGCTGAAATCCTGCAGTTACGGATATGCTTAGGAATCACAAACTCATTGCACTTTTTTTTTTTTTTTTTTAAATCTTTTTAGATTTTAATGGTAGGTTGCATCTATGCTTGTCATAGCTAGATTTCAATCACTACAATTGTAGAGAATGCCCCTTTACAAGAAAAAATATATATATTTCTGGAACTTTACAGGATGTTTTTACAATTCTTCAAAAATTTAGTAAAACTCATAATGCCAGAATAAAAAATATACTGACTTAACCATTAAAATACACACCCCTTCAATGAAAAATAAAGGTTGAACTAAAGTATTCCAGTAAAATATTATCCCCTTCAGGATGCACATTCTTCCTAGACTTACTTATAAATTAGTATTACTGAATTAGTATTTTTTCTCACTTGAGTAAGTTTGTCCTTTGAGAGGGAAAACAAAGAGATGCTCAACAGTGACCTAAATATTTTATTAATTATACCTGTGCAAAGCAGAATCTTTCCTTTCGTTAAGTATCTGATGGTCTCTGCAGTCTTTTGAAGACACTCCTCAGACAGATAGGGTGGATCTGCTATTACGATGTCAAAGCTGTGTGGCAGGAGGTTTTCCGGTAAGTTCAAAGGGTTGTTGTAATCATAGAAGATAAATTCTTCTCCATATACAGAAAACCTTCTGTCGTACTCCAGAATAACCACCGAAAAATCTTTGTCATCCCGTTCCTTCAGTTTCTGATACACACTTGGTGCACTAACACAGGCTATCCTGAAAGAGAGACAACAACTTAGAAATTTGATTTTAAAAGGCAACAAAGAAATAATTACAACAAAGACAATTCCATGAGTTCTCAGGGCTGCTTTGGGAAAACATTTTAAGCATTTGTCCCAGAAAATGTAAGCTATTTGTCCTTAAATCTAACAAATAATTACTTTGTAAAAATCAAAGAATGGAGCTTTAACTATTCGGGCCATTACATGTTCAGCTTCCATGCCGCACAGAGACCTTAACTACAGAGAAAAGCTTATTTTAGAACAAGGAAATATATTGAAAATTTAACTTAAAAATTAAAAGTAATCCTTACAGGAATAGGAGGAAAACCAAGTTTTTCCATCTGTTCTGCAGAAATGTATAAAAACAGAGGAAAGAATTAGAAGTCATTAATATGCTCTGGAGCTCATTATATTTCTCAGAAATTAAAAAAAAAAAAAAAAAAAAAAAGATTTATAATAAACTTTGGCAAGGCAAAGGCTACAGCATTCAATGAAACACTAAACTGTAAGCTCAGTGTGAACTATTACCTAACTAAATAATGGCATTTCTGCTGCTGCATCTCCGCCAACTGCTGAGGTACAAAGAGTAAGGAATTAGACTGCACGTTCTCCCTGCATAAATGAAATAATTACAGAAAAGGCATGACAAATCTACAAAATAGACATTAAAACCTACCTGCCACCTTTCCCAGCTGCCACAATTGCTTCATTAGCCAGGCACGATGCAGTTTCATCGCTGTACCAAAACTGGCTCAGTTGCTGAGGAAAATAACGCACAATTATAAACATCAAACCTGACTGTGCTACAGACAATTAGGTGTTGTGAGTCCTATTTGAAGAAAACCAAAATCCACAACAATTTCTCATTTCACAAACTACAAAGGTGACAATTTTTCTGAGAGTCTTTTTACTTCCGTAAACCAATGGGAGGCAGCAGGTAGCTTACACTGTGTGCTTCCACAGCACTTACCATGGTATCAGGAAAACCAAGTAATTCAAAATCACTGAGAAGGTTAGTTCAAACCCTGCAGATGTACAGTATTTATATACTCTTAAATTGAATTACTTCAGTGGGAAAGGAAAAAAGAACTCGAAAAATGACAGTATAGAAGGAAATAAAGGATGAATGTACTAAATCAGAAGATACAAGAAACAGGAAGGGGAGAAAAAAAAAAAAAAAAGAGCCCAGAGACAAATCCAAAGTCAGTCTGTTAGAAGAAAAAATGCAGCAAGGCAGCCACCCACAAAACCAACAAAATAAACACAAATAGAAATATGATGTGAAAGAACATTCAGCCTCGTTACACTGTGTTGCCTCAAACTGAAGATACTGAATCTTCAGTATCCTCACATGCCAGGCTGGAGTTAAAAGTTTCCAGAAGGCACAGAGGCTTCTGTTGGCAGCTTTATTCCTTCTGTGCATGTAATTACCCTGATTTAATATTAAGGCAAATAAGCTTGCAGTGTTATTGTCCATAAACCATTTTGCCACTCTAGGAACATCTTAAGTGTTCCCCTTTTCATTTTATTACCAATCCACAAAATAAACCCGGTGAGGGCTGTTCCTCTGTAACATTCACTAACTGTGCTTCATTCACTACGTTTAGTTTCTTACCCAGTTTTCTTCTATCGAGCCAACAGAATATTGATTAAACCCTTGGGAAGTCTTCGTGCCCTCCCTCTGCTGCTGTTCCAAATAGAACTCCTGGAGGGCAGCCAGCGTATGGGCTGAAAGCTGGGGAACGTCATCATCATCATCATCCATTTTTCTAGACATCAACCAGAGGAAAAAAAACCCTAATTAACCATTTTCAATAGTGGAAGCTTTTAATAATGGCCCGCTCTCCCAAGGCAAAGCAACATTTCCTGACTTTGCAAGCTTAGTCTAATAGCTAATGAGGAAAGCCTCTGAACAAGAGAAAAATATGTAACTTTTCCAGAGAGAATTCAGGAACTGGTCCCTTTCTGTATCACACAGATGTGACTCATATTCTTACAGGGATGTTGTCGTTACAGCTTGTTATACCGTGCATCCATACACCACTTCTGTTTCAGCTTGCAGGAAAAGGCTATAGTGGATTTTGCAAATACTGTAGAAATTATTCCCTCCCCTCCGAGACATAACGATAGCTACTGATCATTTCTTGCCATGCTGAAGAGGCACACAGTTCTGACTCAAAGAGAAGTAAACTCTTGTTCTAGGATCAGCATCACCTGGCTTCACCTCTCACACCACAAAATGGGTCTCGAATGCCAGGAACCTTCAGCAGACAAGACACTCAAGAAGATGTTTTCCTAAGGTAACACTGTGTGACTGACAATTTGTGTATTTACATGTGAGAACATGGGCACAGCTCGTACCCAAAGGGCACGGTGTGCACTAGATGCCGAGAGCAGCTGTTTGCAGGGGTCTCAGAGCTGGGCACCCCCTGCACCCCTCGGCCACACACTGCCAGGCAGCAGCCCAAGCCTGCGAGTCCTTCCCAGAAGAGACGGTGCCACCTCGTGGAGCCAAGGTGACAACAGCAGAAATCAAGCATGTGAAAAGCATGACAGAAAACCTGGAAATCCGAGATTCTTCCCTCAGGAAACCAGCTTTTTCTGCATCTGTTCTAAGAATTCATTCATCCAAGGACTTCAGCAGGAACGGGTGTGCACCTTCCTTCATGCAGAGGCAGTGTGTGGTGGATGCTGCACAGAAACACTTGCCATTTGAATTGTACGTAACTTGGAAAACTATGAAAACTTAATCTGAAGTAGAGCTGCTTACATTTGTTCCTCCCTCTGCTCTCGCCATTACAAGGAGGACTCCAGAACTCATGGCCTCCTCCCCTTCACCTCCCCCCTGCAGCACTTCCCGGACACTTCCTAAATCTGTTTCTCCCTACTGACTGAAAAAACAGTGCCATTAGCCTGATGCTGAGAGATAACCCATTGCTGTTCACTAAAATATTCACTCTGCCATCCCAGTGACACGATGCACGCCACACGCCTCGAAGCTCCTGGCTCCTGCCGAGCACTGTGCCGGCGTCCCTCCATCCCTCAGAGCCTGAAGGCCTCACGCAAGAGGGGATCCTGGAGTCAGGGGGCAAAACGGCTTAGTTTGTTCTTATTGCTTGGTGAATTAACATAAATGCTTTGAAATTATTATTTATATTATTAAATTTCATATTATTAAAGTAATTTCCTAGTAAAATTACCACAAGTTTACACAGAACAGAGTTTCTAACAATGCACAATGCTAATGTCCATTTAGGCCCTGTACAAGAACCCTTTTTGCTAGGACAGAAGTTCCAAGTTTAAAACTACTCTTCATGGACCAGATGATCTTGAAGGTCTTTTCCAACCTTAATGATTCCGTGATTCTATGACTTTCTTTTTATTAAGTGTATCATAGATGTAGTAATCTGTTTTTCTGTTAACCCTAAGGCAAGCACACCTCTAGGCTTTGACACTGAGAAACCAAAACTGATGCAAACTTGCAGTTCTTAAGTCAAAACCATTTTGATTTTACATTCAGTGAACCCATACAGGCATTTGCAAGGATTAAATCTATGCCCGTGAAATGAAATCCTCACAGATAAAATTGCTGCTGAAGCGATTATCCATTGTTTCAGTGGATGGAAAGGGATACAACCACAGGCATCCTTTTTCTATAAATGCTATTTTAGCTCCTTTTTCATAGTCTTCCTTTTGTTTTGTAAATTAAAGCTTTAGGAACCAAGCAGCAATTAACTGTGAGGCTGCAAGGAAAGGTAACTTAGAACATATGGTAGAAAAATCATTAGGTACATCTATTAAGAATATCATCAAAAACCAAAACCTTTTTCTGAACAGATGTACATTGTCTACATATACTGACTTAAGTCATCAGCATGAAGACATTTTCTTGCACATGAAGTACATTAGAAAGCTATTAAAGTGAGTTTATGTGAACAAGACTTGTAAATTCCTTTGGCTTCAAGTCAGTAGAAAGTTGTACTACTTGAAACCTCCCTATAGCCCTCCCAGAAAGTATACTGCTCACAAGTCCAAAAACAACCCTGAAAGTTTTGGGGAGGATGGGAGGAAGCAGAGGAAATCCATGGCACCTCTAGCACTATCAGTAGGAACACCAAGTTTAAAACTTGCTGTGTGCTAAGTCTTCTTTGCTATTAAGTTTTAGACTTAGTAGTAATAGGGCTGCATTTGCACCTAATTAAAAAACAACACAATAAGGAATCAGATCTCCAAGAGGTTGGAGAAGTAAGGCTTGGGGTGAAGTTAAAGGTCATCTAAAGGATAGCAGGAAAAAAAGGGGTTAAGCACCTATCGATAGAGAGTAGCATAAATAGGCAGGATTGTGTTCACGGGATAGATTTGAATGCTGCTGGCCTCTGAAGGGGCCGATTTACCCAGTAAATGAGAGAAATTAGTGCAACTGCACCGTATGACCCACAGCTCACACAGTGCAGCGGGCAGGATGAAGGGGGAAGGTGCCTGCAGCCTCCTCAGTCTCTTGCCCCATGCACAGCTGAGTCTGGCTCTGACCAGCTGACAAATGTCCAGGTAAACATTGCTACTGTGTGAAAGTTCCTCAAAGAAAACAGAAAAACAAAACAAGAAAGAGGTAATCATAGCAAGTGAAAACAGTAGCACTGAAGACCCCAGTGCCTTGTCTACATAGGAATACTGTATGATTTAACACTGGTTTCCAGCTCTCATGTATGAAAACCCTGATTTTATCTAGCCAAGCCCTAAAATAGAGAAAAAAATAAATAACAAGTTAGAAAGAACTTGTTAGAATGGAAAAATTAAGTCAGAAATTCCTTCAGTCTTTCACAGTCTTCCCATACCCCGGTACATTTGGTCTATCCATACCTATGAAGCTGTGGTCACCTGCAAAGCAGTGTTCTTTGAGCACAGAGCAGCTGCTGTGTGCCAATGTAACCGTGCCCCCATGCACAGATGCGTGGAAATGCAGACACTGGGTTTGCTGAGGCAAGGTGAGGCCACGTGCCTGTGCACCATTGGTGACCTCGTAACTACAGAAAATGCAGCCGGATCCTTCCTTAGCCCCTTAGACCTCTTACCAAGAATACAAGTGCACATGCAACTTCAGAAAAGACTAGGGGCCCCTGGAGGAGCAAGCACTGCCTGGGGGTGAACAAGAAGTCCTGACCAGAGGGACAGAAACATTATAAGGCTGAGCTGGGGCTCACCACCATAAAACATGGAGTTATTGTACCCTGTTCAAACCCCAGTCACTAACATGCACAAGGACCCAAACCCCAGGTCTCCAGTGACAGGTGAGTGGCCAAACAGGAACTCTAAATCACAGGTGGGTTTGGGGGGATCCTGTCCCAAACACAGTAAAAACGCAGAGAAAGGATCTCCCCTGTTGGAAACAATTATTAATGTCTTTAAATCCAAGAAGCAGCTGAGCCAGAGCTCAGCTTTTGCTGAAGTGTCTGGCAAGTTACCTGAGTGTTGCCAAATGTGCTTTCATGAGAACAACTGACAGGACAAAATGTATCAAGTACATCAGTCCAAAGTAATTTAGACACAAAAATCCCCGATGCTCGCTAGTGTGGTCTAGCCAGAAGAAACTGAAAAAGGCTTGGCCATATGTACATCTGTTTTGTAGTCTTTCTAATGCGGACCAAAACTTCTCAAACCTCAAGAAGCTACTCGCTTCCTTGCAGTCAGCTGTGAAGTTTTGGAGCCCAGGTGCCATACAATGATCCAGCCCCTGAAGGGGATGCCAATTTGGGGAACATCAGAAAGGCAGACCTGACAAACCTGCACGCAAACCTAAAGCAGTTTTCTTGTGTTTCATCGAAGAGGGAAGGAGGATGTGTGAAGCAGAGGCAGACCTGAGAAGGGCTCCACTGAAGGATCAAGTCTGGAGAGCTTTTTATTTACAACCACACCAAAAGGTTCAAAAGAAAAGCTGTACTGGTTCAGATCAAAGGTAGATAGTGGTAATTCTATCTCGAAGGTAGCCAAAAGCAGCTGTCTCAGAGTGAGATTGAGGCACGTACAGGTGATACTTCCCCACTCCACACTCTGCCAGTCGTTAACTGTTTTCCACTAAGGATATTTCTGCATCTGAAGTGATTTGTTCTGTGAATGTAGTTCTCCAAAAGGCACTTGTGCAGCATCCCTTAGATTCATATAAAGTTCTTTAATCGATAATGCCCCCTTTTTAGAAGTTACATTTGATGGAAAACTGCCTCCTCTTGCTGTGAACGTGGCTACTGGCTTCACATGATGTGATACTTCCCTTACAGCAATAGAAAGCAGACATCAGAACCCCGTTATTCCCCACCTCACACCGCTCCACATGCTGTTTCACAGACACCTGGAGGTCATCCCCCTTTCTTCAAGTCTTTCCATACATTTGCTGATCCTTGTTAAACTCTTCTAATACGCCCCTTCTTTGAGATGAGGGAACTGGAGTTGTAGGCAATATTTAAGATTAGGGTGATTACACACTTACGCTATCCTTTTATAATGTTTTCTGTTATATTCTATTTATTTTCTTAAAAATATCTATCATTTAATGGCTGCTACCACACATTGATTTGATGTTTTTGGAGAATTACACACCACAACCACAAAGTCTCCTGCCTGAGTAAAGAATGGTTTTTAATGTGAATGTGATTGGGAGGAACTTGTGAAGAAATTGAAAAGGACCTGGAAAAATAGCTTCTGCAGGGGGGTATGTATGAGGAATAACTAACTTGAGAGGGGACTGGCAGAGCCTGTTAACTGTAAGAGGCATGAACATCGCAGGCACAGACCTACTGTTGTGTTTTCCAAGGCAAGAACTGGCAGGGAACAAGCGTGGCCTCAGGATCCAGGTTCACCAGGACGGCAAGGTGCTGCCTGGCACAAGGTACAGCACAGCTGCAGAATCCCTCTCACAGGGTACAGTACAAAGTGGTGCATGGCAGCAGCTCGAGGTGAGACTGGAGAGCTCAGAGGTGAGGGGCGCAGAGGGTCGCTCAATACAGAGACCCCTTAGGATTCAAAAAGCAAGGGCTGGAGGCCAGGTGGCCATTGGAAGAAGCGAAGTGAGATACATCCCAGCCCGACCGCTTGCTTTTCCATGAGCATCGTCTGATTTTTGGGATATAGAGGATAGCAGGTCAGACAAACTGGTTACCCTGCTATGTGTGCGTGCTAAAGAACTGCTCCTGACTAAGGAAACCCTCTCACAGAGTGACTGAGGTTGGAAGGAACTTCTGGAGATCACCCAGAGCACATTGCACAGGACGGCATCCAGAGGGGTTTGAATATCTCCAGAGGAGACCCCACAGCCTCTCTGGGCAGCCTGTCCCAGCTCTGTCACCTCACAGCACAGAAGTGCCCCCTCAAATTCAGCCAGACCCTCCTGTGCTTCAGTTTGTACCCAGTGCCTCTGTTGGTGGGCACAACTCAACACCAACCGGCTCCATCCCGTCCCCCCATTACCGCACGGCACCGGGGATGGCAGCCCCGGCCCGGCCGCCCCGCGCCCCCTCAGCCCCCCCGGGAGGCGCAGCCCCGCCGCACGGAGCCCCCCTCCTCCCGGCCCCCCCCCGCCCGCCATCACGGCGGAGGGGAGGCGCGCGGACGAGCACCGCGGCCCCCCCAGAGCCGCAGCACCGCGGCCGGGCCGAGCCCACTCACCGGCACCCAGATCCCTCCGCGCACGCAGGCCCCGCCCCAGCGCCGCGCGCAGCCCTGCCGCGCCCCTCCCCGCTCCGCTTCCCGCCCTTTCTGAGGGCTCCCAACCGTCACGGGCAGTCACCGGCCGCCACCGGCGCTGCCCGTTAAAAACCCTAAAAAAAAACACCCTAAAAAACGTTTTTTAGGGTTACAGCACCCGCGCCTGTCCCCAGACACCGCCCCGCGGCTCTTTGCCGTCGTTCCCCAGGCATTTCAACCCCCCCCCGGTGGTTCAGGAGGCTTTAACACGGTCTAACAGTGCTTTCAGGGCTGATCACTTACAGTCACCTGACTGAAAATAAATAATTAAATAAAAAATCGGCAAAGAGAGTGTAGCGACGGCTGGTACAAAATAATCGATTAACTTCATTTTTTTTGCAGGTTTCCTGATGCTCTTTTATCATGTCTTGTTAGCTGACATACTACTATAGGACTCCCTTTCTTTCACCCAGACAGAATTTAAGCTGTTTGTTAGAGTTTCATAAGTTAGCAGTTTTAAATGTTCTTCATTTGAATCAATTTACTGCGTCTTTCTCTTTGGGCATACACACGTACTTCTCTGTGACCTTCCTTGTGCAGACATGATGTGCTTTCTGCCACGTCTGCTCATCTTTTATTGTCTGAAGACAAAAACTTCCTCACCACTATTTTTCTTTTCTTCATTGTTCTTTACAAAGTCAGGTCTTGCCATGTTATTTTGTTAAAAGCATTTTCATAACATTAGCGTTCTTGTTTCAGAGTTGCTCTGTGACTGCCCTATAAAGACTTTCTCCTTTGGGTCCCCATACCTACTACCTCACTATCTTCCATTTAGAAACAGCACTTCTCATGGCAGTAGGGAACTGCGGGCTTGTTCATTTCTTTTTTAAAAGACAACTTTAAAAAGCCTGAACTTGTCATTCAGTGCATTACCCCTTGTCTGCTTTGAACGGTCCTGCCAAACAAGGTCTTCATTCCAGCACAAAAGATTGTCCTGCATGGAGTGCACCCATACCCATCCGTATTACACCGCTGCAGTAATTTAAAACAACAAAAACTCTTCCATGCATTGCTGCACAGCGACAGTGCATCTGTGTAACATTACTGAATGCAGCAAGAAATCAGGCTCAGATCCTTGAAAATGACACTTAAATATCATTTACCCATTATTCCATGCAAGTTTGTAAAGCATTTTATGTGAAAAAGAGTTACACACAAGGCTGATAAGTAAAACTGAAGGATGAAAGGACAGAAGAGGTTGGGCAGACACGTACGATCAGTCCAGATTTCCTGGAGCAACAGTCCCCCGTGCACCTAATGATATTCCTGTGCAGAACAGTTACAGAGATCACGTAAGGGCACATGGGGGGGCTCAGGGAGGACAACATCTTTTGGGTTGTGATACCAGGCACTCTTTGGCAGCAAATGCACAGCTCAGCACTGCTCAAATCCCTTACAAGATGGTGCTAGCAGGAAAGCGCAGGAGAAGCTGGACTGACCCTGTATGAAGGAAAGCAATTTATGTCTTGCGACGCAGCTTCTTCGGGGATGCAAGGGCAAACCAGCCATAAATATGGGAACACCATTACTAGGTTTTATTGTTTCTTAATTCCTTTTTGCAGGAAGGTGCTTCAAGTTAAAATACCTACACTGTGGCCTTTCAGCCACAGACCCACCCCTTTCTTTGAAATACAGCAGTGCCAAGGGCATCTGTACGACTTCAATCTGAGGATGTGGACCACTCCTGCCTTAGTAATATATTGCTACTGCTCTGTGTTGGAGCAGCTCAGAAACAGAGCATAAAGCAGTTTTCAAAAATACAGTCCCTCCCTGGAAAGTAATAGCAACTCGCTACTCCAAAGGCTTTTGTGTTTCCATGTTTGTGTTTTTCTTGTTTTATTGTCAACCACATTTTTTTCTTTACTGATGAAAGTCTATGCCTTTGAGTCTTTCTGGAGCAGAAGCTATAGCCACGTGAAAGAACATTAGTTCAATCTCATTACCTCATATGAAAATAGATTATTAAATTCCAATTGTAGAGTCTGCTGTTGCCACTATTTAAGTCTAAAAAAAGAAAATCTTAATAGCTCTTTTCCCCCAGACGTTGACATTTTTAGGAATGGCAAACCACATTTCATTTGGAAGACAACCAAGCATGCAATACTTAACCATACGAGGATTGCTTCTAGTGAATGTCAATATAATCCTACATCTGAGGATGAGAAATAACAGAAATATTCATTTTACAGAACAACCTGCAACATCTCGTCTGTTTAAGAAAAGCTTATTGGTTCAATGCTGAGTTGTTCAGATGCAGATAAAAGGTGCCTTAGAGCCCCGTGGGGTAGGTCGGTGAGCCACGTGCATCGCAGCTTCCCCAGCACGTGGGGCATGCAGGAGTACAGGCTGGTAGCCAGCCTTATAGAAGCTTTCAGTCGCTCTCTGAATTTAAGTACTGTAGGAAGTAGTTTTCATAAAGGCACAAGATACGTACTAACAAAGAAACTTGATGGAATTTCGTGGCCAGAGCATTTTCGTGTTTGCTTTTGCCTTCCCCCCTTTCCCCCAAAGATGTAATCACTCTGCCATCACAAGAAGCAGGAAGGAAAATATATAAAATATATTTAGCAAAACCAGTAAAATTAAAGTGGAACAGAAAACGCAGTCAAGTAGCAAACATTATGTACAGCAGCAGGTTTTACACAGTTTTTCCTACACATACCTCTGTACTTATTTCACACACACTTTTTAAGGAGAAGAAGAAAACAGAAATAAGCTAGTGTTACGAAAGAAAACATTATTATTTTTTTCCTGAACAGCAGGTGGGGTTTATCACTGTTTTTGCTTTTGAAACTCCAGTTCAGACTATATATATGTCTAAGAAAAATAAGAGGACACCATTTTCCCAGTCCCCAGATTAAAATTAAACTGTCCTCCTTCTACAGACCATACTGGTATCTTAAATACAGTCACGCTCATAGGATCTAGACATTATCTGGCCATCTTAAAGGATGTAGATAACAAACATTTTAACTGAGATACAAAACAGGTATCTAATTTTTTTCCAGCTTTCCTGAGGCTGAGTGAAATGTTTAAATACATGTGCGCTTATCAAAATCCATGTTACAGTACATTTTTTTTAACAGTAGTTTGTTAAGAAATCATGAAAGTGCATAACAGCCTAAAAGCAGGCAAAAAGTAGGTAGGAACAGTCTGTCCTTAAAACGGCAGAAGGACGCATGCCTTCCCCAAAGCAGTGTTGGTCTTGTGAGAGGACGTCAGTGATCTTCCTAAGGACTCCGAAGCGTGGCGGTGGGCTTTTGGTTTTGGTTTTCTTGCTCTGAGTTACAGCAATCAGGTGAGCGAGCAAAAGCCTGCCAGAAGTACTGGTGCAGCACTAAAATTAAAGCCAACGTCCTGAAAATTTATTAAACTAAGTTACGAACGCAACTTTCATATCAGTACTCGTTTAGAGTCTAGTGATGACTTTCAACAGCACACAGAGGGACGGATTGGAAGCGGCTCGAACACACCACAAACCCAAATGGCAGCACCCACAGCAATAAGTTAAAGCAAATCCAATGCACTCCTTCACAGCAGTGAACAGCAGGCCAGACACCAGGGGGGAGAATAAAGGAAGCACAGCACACACCAAGCTGCTGCCTTCTTCAGAAGACAACACAGGATCTGAAAACCCAAATTCGGTAATATCTGATAGATGGTAAGGTGAAAACGGCTGTTCCATGGGATTCAGATAAGAGAAAGAACAGCAGTTACACATCAGCCACAGTGGGTACCTGCAGTGCTTTTTGGAGATGCCGATTTGCCTGGAATGATTCCCAACATAGGAAAGATTTTATTATTTAATTAACGAACCTCACGCTGATTGCATCATGTTTCATACAACTCCAAAACAGCACTCTCTTTAAAACCCAAAAACCCATTAATGAATTGACAGCATTTACTAATCCTCATCAGGATGAGGCCAGTTACCAAATTATAGGTTAATGCTTGCATTCTGAACGGGTTTTTCTTCTTTCTTCTTACAGTTTAGCTTGATTTTTATTTTCCACAGCAAGGATGCAAACTTTTTACTTTCTTCGCCTCCTGCCCTCTTCCAGTTCACATCAGACCTCCTCCTTTGCTGATCTGGCAAGCTCCGTTCGGACCACTGAGGTTTCCTACTTTTTTTTTTTTTTTTTTCTTATAATAAATGGCAATCAGTGAAGGAAAAACCCCAAATGCCAAAACCCCCAAACACCAACTTCGCCACATGCAACTAAAGCAAATGGAAATTTCTTAAAGGCAAAATTAACGGGTTTTGCATACACTTACAGAAACAAGTGTGAATAAGGGTTTTGTATCCAAATCATTCAAGTTTATTCCAGACCTCATATTTAAGGTAAAGTACTTCAATTTTCTACACGCAAGGCTCTTGGATACGCTGCTGTTTTTAATCTTGCCAAGCTGTTTTCAGGGATTTGCTCAAAATTACCTTAGATGTTTCCGTCCTTCACAAAAACATTCACTGAACAAAGCCAGGCCAATATAAATACTTTGTTGCATGAATTTTACTTTTGAAACCAGTAAAATTTTAGTGAGACACAGAGCCAAGGTGTACAGCAAGCTGTCACCACCACAGCTGTAGCATAGTTTTACTTTCAGGATTTGTGTTTTGTTTGTTTCGTTTCTAAACTTGTGAATGAATGAAAGTAAGAGGGGAACAAAACAAAATAGCTGTAGCTCTTCCAGATGTAATTACGTTATAGCACATTAGGAACTGCTGCCTTTCACCAAACTTTCCCAAAACACATCAAGTGAGATACTGTTGGATGTAATTTACACGAGACCCAATTTCAAGCTTGGAGAACATTTCTGTGCCCGCTAATCATAGACTGTTTACATTAAATCTGCACACAGAATTCAAGACCAGTATTCAAGACCAGTATCAAGATCACTGTTGTTTCTGGGGGCACAAACACCCAATAACAGTGACCTGAAAAGTCACCATCAGATTTAGTTTTTATTTTTTGGGGGATGGAAATGAGAGTAATTTGCTTATATATTCACAGCCATTTCTGGTAGCTCACTCTGGTGCTCCCGCGTGAGATTCTCCTGTCACGCACCTGATCACGTTTTTTCTGTTGATGGGCAAACTCGTGCCTTAAATGCTGATATAAATCTAAAGTCACCCCATCAACTTAAATCAAATTACTGTTAATTCACACATCCAGAGAGCACAATCATTAGCCTGAGTCTTCATAGCGTTCCTGGGTTTGTTCCCACCATGAGGAGGCGTAACAAATGCTATTTCAGGGACTCATCACAGGTGGGATTTTAGAAAAATATAAACAAGAATACACACAAATCACACATGGCCAAACCAAAATAAAAGTCTTTAGTGGAAAACAATTTTATCCTCCTCCTGCTTATGGATCTTAAAAATACAGAAAGTGTTCATTTCAAAATTGAAAATTCAGTTGTGATAAGGCTTGATTACAGAGCCACTTCCCAAGTTTTATTGCAATAAACTGTGAAATATTTCTATGCAACTTCATATCTTCAACTGTACAGGTAAAACAATACTTGAAATTAACTAGCACTTCAATCCCTGCTTTTTTTTCTTTTTTTTTTTTAATATATAAACTCAACATAGTACTGAATTATACATTTAAAATATTTACACGTTTGACTGACAGCAGTACTAGCATTTATTGCCTTAAAGCTGCATGTTCACTGCATGGAGGTTCCTCATTTTGCACAAAGGGAACAAGGAAAGGAGGATAATCTTATTTTTCCTACTTATAAAATCTAGGGTAGCTCAAGGGGAGACTGAAGTGTGCTGAGGAATGCTATTAGAAAGTCTGTTTGCTTCTTAAAATCAATTTCAAGTATCAAGCTGTAATAGACAGGAAAATAATGGCATGGGTGGTATCTTTCATTTGAGGTGGGAAGGGTTTTCCCAATGTTTTATAAGAATGGCTTAGAAGGGCATGGAAGGCAGGACAGGGAAAGGGAAGAAACAGAAAAGCAGAACCTGCTTTAACTCACTGAGGAGAACAGAAGGCCAGAAACACCTTGTTTCTCAGTTCCTAGGGCACCAATAAATCTCATTTTTTTTTTCCTCTACATTTATTTTTAAGACAGGTGAGAGCTTAAGGCTCTAGATCAAATCACAGAGTTTGCTTCATGATTAGTGCTAGGAAGCATTAATCTCATTTACCACAAGGAGGACTAAAAACAAATGTAAAGGTTTTTGGGGGGGCCGGCTCTTTATATCTCAATTGATGCCACTAGGCTTTAGTTGTATTGAGCAGAACTTGAGTGACTAGCAGAGGCATGGGAGAAATGAGAGGTGTTTGTTCATTGCAGAAAAGCCTAAAAGAAAAGAAAAAAAGGCAAAAAAAGAAAACAAAAAACCTACCACCACAAGCAGCACTTGTCACAAGTAGAGGCACCGAAGCCTGAATACCTAACACCTGTCCTCTTTCTATTTAGACCACAACTGAGGCACCATGGTGGGGAATCACATCTCATTGAAGAAGAAACCACCACTTGAACTGGCTGTAACTGAAGCAGCTGCAGCACACAGCGAACATTTCTGCACCGCCGTAATTCCCAGTCTCGTGGAATACCGGCCTGCTGCTGCCTCTCCCATTTTATAATTATCAATCTTCTGTTTTCATCACAGTAAATCTTACACCTCACAAAACTAACAGTAAAATATTTAATATTTACAGAGCATTTCAGATCCTCAATGCATTTTATAGGCATAAGCTAATCCTCACAACATCCCTGTGAGGTAGGTAAGTATCATCACTATTTTTACAAAGACATGGATTCAGCGACTTGCCAAGGACCACGGAGGACCCCGTGGAAAAACTGATACAAAATTAGAGGAGCCTGGCTCCTACTTCCTGCGCTTATATTCATCAAGCTACTTCCATAAAGAACACCCCTTCTTATGTAATTATTCAACTGAAATTACTTGAAGTGTTTTATAAAAGAAATGCTGCACTTGTGTCTCTGAATAGTTTTTACAGGTCACAAATTAGAATTTACATCACCTCCTAAAGGATTACATTTTAAATGGACAACTGACTGTTCTGAGCAAGCTTATTTTCTAGAACTACATGGCTTAAATACGAAGGGATCTACCCAAGTAAACACTGGGGCTTTAGCAAGTGCTACGCACTAACCACGAGGTGACTGCGATTCAAACCCCTCTCTTTCAACTTGCAGGATTTGGACATGCTGAGAAAACAAGTTTCTCGTTCCTGAGGAAAACAGTGAGCCCTTTAACACTGAACAGTGAAACGCAAACTTCTGGGCACTAAGATGTGGCAGATCCATGTGATAACTCAGCGAAGGTAGTTAAGGCATAACGCACGTGAAAGTGGAAGGTTAATGCAGTCCACTTCTCCCTGCCCACGTGTATCTGTGCTTTCGAAGTCTTGAATTTCATGAACCAACTGAATGGTCATGCTAGCCAGCAACAAAATTTAAAGGCTGAACAACAGAAAATTATTACACCAGCATTGGAAACAGTTCTTATGGTGGGGGAAGGGGCTGGAGAAATGGGAAAGAAGCTACTTGCTTTCTACTGTCAGAATGAAAACACTGGAGCAATGATTTGCTTTAGCAAAAAGAACGTTGTGGCTAGATAAATAATATTTGTTACAATTCCATCATGCAGCATTTATAATTCTGTTCAAATTGCTTTTTCTTTCCTTTCAAGAAACAGGTGCCTTTTTGAAACCATTATTCACTTTGCACAGTGAATGGAAAAATCAATGCAGTGATGCTACCAACATTTCAGAACAGTTATTTGAAGTCAGCTCTCGGGGTCTACTGAAAATGGTCTGTGCCTTTCCTGTGGACTTGAATGAGCTTTTCCATCTAGATTTACAGCAACTGAACATGCAGAAGATCAACAGAGATTTGTTTTGGGGAGTTTTTGTTTGTTTTGGATTTGGAAGGGATATATAAACCAAAAGATTAGGTAGAAGCAGCCACCTAGCCAGCAGGAGTATGAATTAGGAGAACTTATTCCCAGGAATCTTTTCAACAATTTCTTGGATGTCACCAATGCAAGAGACATCTTTGCATTTGCTGTGAAAGAAACATAAAATGGCAAGGAAAGATCCACGTTGAACACACAAGAACAGAAGAAAGGAATTAAAACCAAGAAAGAGTGTTGTTTAGCACAGCATTAAGCAGAAAAATTACACAAACCCCCTACTAGGACAGTTTCCCGTTAAAATAGCATTGATTTTAAATTGAAGGGCAAAAGGAAGTTTTAAACAATCTTCAAAACTTGTCTTTGAAAGTAACATTCACACAGTGTGTCAGTGCTTGGTACACTGCAATAGGCCTGATTAGAGGAGTAATGGGTATGCACATTGCTTGGTTCTGAATACCACCTCAATTTGTACTCCCACTTACCAGTTACAATCCTCAAGAGAATTTCAAAATTTTAAAGTTCATAAATATTTAAAATATTGAGCCAGCTTTAGGATGAAAAAAGTGATAGTGGCAGAGCTAGCGGTAGAGGAAGTGATGACTGGACTTACAAGTTATTCAGTCAGATCCAAAGAAGTTGAAGGTATTTGCCATGATCTCTTTGAAGACTCTGGGCTAGATACAGTCTACATCATGACAAACCAGCAGCTCTTACAGCCACTTCTGTTCCCAGGCTTTACTGCCCTTCATTTAAAAACAACAACACAAACCACAAAACAAACGAAAGTTTCACAACTGCTGCCCAATGTAATGTACGAGCCCAGAGAAACTCCAGAAGCAGTTTCGGAAAAATAGCAAAGATCTACACATGTTAAAAGAGATCGATCTGCTGGGACCGTTATAATTTCTGCAAGTGCACAGGCGAGAGATGTTTTGAAGAAATGCACTAGAGATTCAAGAAAAAAAAAAAATTAAAAAAACAGTGCAATACTCCTGTTCTAAAAAACGATGCAAATTACCTTAGAAATAAAATACTAGTTGGGAAGGTACATTACCTAACAAGTTTTGTAGTCACTTTTTAATGTGTAAATCTGCTCATTCACATAAATTAAGAGAGAAGTATAATGAAGAGGTGGCTTTTTTAGCCTTGTGGATCCATGCTTCAGAGAGGTATGGGTTTAACTGAGAAATAAAAAAAACTTAGGTCACTTATAGCACAGTATTACAGATCTGTCTTTTTAAAATTCTGGCTATTGTGACTAATTCTGAGATGAACAGCTGCAGAATGGCACAGAGTTGCAAAAATGATGCTATACAGAGCCACGTAAAGGTGTATACTGTACATTTTATATAACTTTAAAAAACACATGGGAAACATTCAACAGCATAATCTAACAGAGTTCTTCAACAAAAGGGCCAACTTCTGCCTCCATGTATTTCCACAACAGATGTTTTAGTAGACATGCAACATTTGCGTTTGCTTCAGTTCCCTCTGGTGCACGACGGGAGATGAAATAGGCCTTGCTTTTGTGTTCGTGTGCTACTCTCCCTTGTTGGTCCACTATACTCAGGGCACTGTTCTCTGCTGTTGTAATAGCTAAAGTGCTGATATAAAAAGGATGAGCAAGAGCAGAGCAGCTGGGATGGCTCTGCAGAAGTGGAGCTAGATTCAGCAAAAAAAAAACAACCTCCCCCATAGCACTACACATCCCAGTTACCTTTCTCAATTGTAGTCAAGTAAGCGTGGCCCTTGAGTGAAAGGGTTTGATGCCCCTGTTCTGGCATAATTGTTTTAGCTAATGCCCCAACTTTAAAATGATTGCAAGTCAGGAATTTACACCTTTTGAGTTGTTATTGCTTAAGCAAACAGTTCAGTGTAGAAATACATTGCAGTTGCGTGCAACCTGGATATGATTCAAAACAGATACTGAAAGTAAAACTACACATGAACCTTGCGTTCGACACTCGATTCCAAAATGACACGTGTCAACAGGAAGGGCTGCAACAGGCACACAGCAGCTTAATGCCAACATCCTAAACCAACGCTGACGAGTCAAAACTTGCCTTAAATTTCTTAAGTATATGAACTTCTTTTTTCTCTTTTAAATTAAGGCAATGAAATGGCTACAGTTCCTAAAGTTCGTTTCTAGGGGAACAAAAATATACACCTTCTTTCTTCTGAACTTTAGGCAGCAGAACGTAATGTAAAAACCTGCATTACAAAAACATGCAATGTCAGGTTGATATAGAAAAACAAAACTAAACACGAGTTAAAATACCATTTGGTTAATTTCTTCCCCATTGGAACACAAAACTCAAACTTTAGAGAGGAAAAAATAAAGCTTAAAATCAGCGAAACTGTTCAGAACTTTTTATGCATCTGCATAAAACTCTTAACATGAGACTGGGTAGAAAAAAAATCTGCACGTTTATCTGGCCACTCATTTTAAACCAGTGGGGGGGAAAAGGCACTGAATTTATTTTTCATTGTGCCCATATCTGTTTGCACATATATGGAAAAAATTTCAATTCAAATTTTCTGTTCATTCTCTCCCACACACAAGGATGACAGATTGCAGCTAACACATAATAGCAGAAGCTGATTCAAAGTTGACCTCTCCTATTCCACTGTGTTATGTTCTAACTTCCAGGCTCTCTAGAATCTGAGATGGCTGCAAAGAACCCAGAGACAGGTACAAGATTTAGTCAGCATTCAGCATTTCTCAGTGCATTTTGCAGAAAGGGTCTAAATTAGGCATAGAGTTTTGTTGTTTATTTTACACAGAGAAGTCCACCAACATTTGCCATAAATTCTTCTAAACTCTTTAAGAAGGCCATCTTCTGCTTACGGTCCAGTGTAGGAGGAGTGCTGCTTGCAGTAAGCTTGTTGAAGGCATCTGCTAATCGCTGGTAAATTACCGGATCTTGCTGAGTTGATAGCAATGTTTCAACTAGCTCTGAATATTCAGCCTGTTAAATAAACACAAGACCTATTAACTTTAAAAAAAAAAAAAAAAGCAAAAAAAGCACAATATATACAGCTTCTCTCATCAGGACAAGATCCAGAATTAAAATCTGTGACAGAAAACTCTCAGTACCTCTCCACCTATTATCCAGTTTCACCAACTAGCACACTAGAAGCAACTACGGACTTGCAGCCTTTCACCTTCTCCAAAATAGATAAAAGTCTTTCAACTAGACCAGGTCTTAAGTCTAAAAGAAATCTTCTGAGCTTGGCCACAGTCCTCTGAAGCGTAGAGTAAGAAAACCTTAAGCATCCCCTTCAAAGTCCTTTCTGCCTTTTAGCATATGCTCATTCACATAAATGGCACTTCTCTTCCTTCCTGCCCCATGTTCAGTGTGCCGTATCAACCCTTTCCTCCCAGTTTTCCTTTTTCTAGATTCCCTTCCCTTCCTTAGGACAGGTGGCTTAGATTCCTTTCTAAGAGTTTCCCACTTACGCTTACTCAGACAGCAATAGAAGACAAAGAAACATGTTAAGCAACTAGAAAGAGAGTAAAAGATTGGTTGAGGGTTTTGAGAACAGTAAAATGATCGCTGTTCAGAGTAACAGGCTCCTCCACTGCTGCAGGGAACACGTAGCTACACACAGCTCCTAAAGGATACTTAACAGAGACTATGGAGGCTGGAGCAGCAGGGGATGAGAATCTGTCACCATCCTTGGGGGTGTTCAAGGAACGGTTGGACGTGGTACTTAGGGACATGGTTTGGTGGGTGACATTGGTGGTAGGGGGATGGTTGGACTAGATGATCTTGGAGGGCTTGTCCAACCTTTGTGATTCTGTGATTCTATGATCATTTTGGAGGTTTTGAAGACACAGCTGGGAAAATCCCTGAGCAACCCAATCTGAATTCAGCACTGACCCCACTTTGAGCAAGAAGTTGGACTACAGATCTCCTGAGGGTCCCTTCCAACCTGAATGATTCTACAATTTGGCAAACGCACAGTAATTAACCATTCTCCATCAAAAAGTGAGTAATGTTCAGTGTTCTTAAATGTTTAAATGTCATACCTGATGCAAGCACACTAATGTGTAGAACGCTTCACCTGCTGCAGTTGTCATTTCTGTATTGTGCTTCTGAAGTACCAGCATATCAAAGACCATCTGAAATCACAAACCAAAAGCTGTTTCAGAAGTGTAAACTTAACTTCCTGCTTTATAAACACCTGCTGTTGAACCTCATATCTTCACTTCCAATAATAAAGAATGTGTATTCACAAACATCCAAGATTTTTGTTTGCTTCTTTCTTTTCTAAATTTAGGCATTGGTAATTGTAAATTAAATTATTTTAGAAGTTGAGCTTTGGCTTACTGGCACTAATTCATGCCTCAAAGTACTGAAACCTATTGTTGATTTATATGTGGTCTTCATACCTCTCTTGTATTTTTCAACAAAAGCTGCAAATAACTCAGAGAAAGAATGAAAAAAAGCCTCTGCTCTTCCAGTAAAACCAGGAATTTGTTCCTCAAGTTTTGGAATTTCCTACAGCTCACAGAAAGTCAAACAGGGAAAAGAAAATAAGAATGATTTTAAAACTTCACTAAAATAGTGAAAATTTGAGTAAAAGGCAGAAGACTATGTTAACCTAGAAGAAAGAAAGAGACAAATAAAATTATTTAAGGTGTTTCTTATTCTCTTAGCTTCACTGATGTGAGCTCTTAATGAGAAGTCCCCAAAAGTCTGAATGTCAGTTCAGTAAGAAAATATGTCTTAAGCAAAACTGAAGTATTTACTGCAATCAGGAGAGACAAGTATACAAGTTCTCCAATTACCTTTTTTTCCTCATTAGCAATTAGCAAGAAACTGGCTACTATCAGATTAATTGGAAATTTAATGAGACAGAGGGGATGGTTCTTAAAGGAAACTGACAAATATGACACTGGATTAAGAAAAAAAAGCATAATTTATTGGATAAATTGAATAAATGGCAGCATTTTCCTTTCTTCATAGTATACCCAATTATGCTCGCTCTTCTGCCTCTTGTTTTAGTATTCTACCTAGACTTTCATTTGGCAGCTTTTTATTTGACAGCTTTCACAGTAAATTTAAGTGGTGAAACTGTCAGAGTCGTTCTAGAACTCAAGTACAGAGCATAAATAAAAATAAATTGCATTCTGAGGTGCTCAGATCTTTTGTTGAATGGTGAAAAGTCATTTTCTCCTCTACACCTCTGTTCTTTGCAATATAGTCCAATGTCTCTGGTCCTCCATGTTCTTCTTCCAGTGCCAGTTCTTTAGGTAAGAGGTTGTTTCTTTGTGTGTGACGCTCATTAATCTAATCAGATATTATCACTATTTGGTCTCTTGACACCACCTGTATGCAAAAACAAAACAAAACATAACCCAGAACACAGTTGTCTTACCTTAAGAAAGTGCCGTGTTGCTAGAAAGAGAGCTGAATCTGTTTCTTGTGCTTTTGCACACTGTTCTGCTAATGGTGTTACAGCCTCCAGACAGAGCTGGCAAACCTCAGAACTCATTCTGGTAACAGGCATTAAAGAATCAATGTCAGATTTCAATGAAATTGTGGCAAAACTTCCCAACGGCATCACTACAAAATACTTTAAATGCTTCTATATTTCAAGATGTTACTTCACTATAAAGCTGTTAATAAAATAAATTTAAAAAAATAAAATAAAGCGGGAAAAGAACACCAACTTTGTTGCTTTCTTTTATTAGCTACATACCCTAAAGTAACATAACCCTCTCTGACATAACATTTTCAGAAAGAGGCCCTTATGGTCAAGCTCATCTGTTTCTGACACGTGCCACAGATTAGTGAAAATGGTACTCCCGTTAGAAGAGGGAGAGCCCATTGGCAACGTGACAGGAAATGCTCTGGAGCCAGCCCAATAGAACAGCAGCAGTGTTTTGTATTACCAGCTGAGAAACTAATTCAGGAATGGCTTTGGGATACCAGCTGAAGGCTTATGAAGTTACACACTCTGAAGTGAAGTAATGGAGGAGGCAGGAATGGGTGCCAGAAAAAACTTACACGCCAAACCACTTAAACACTGCATTCAAGCAACAAGTCAGAGGAAATTCAGCTAGCACTGGAATCTCGATAGACACTACAGTGAAACTCTCAGCTGGCAAAGAACAGAGAGGAAGAGTTGATTATGGACATGTACCTATAGATACAGAGATTGATAGGGAAGGAAAAAACACAAAGAAAAAGAATCAAGCCTTAACATTTCTTTATAAAAGAAACTAAGATTTTTAAATACTCGCAAAACTCTGTAAAGGATACGATGACATTCCTAACTCCAGTGAGTACATCAGGCTCTTAAAGAGGTCCTCTGGAAGTTGTGGAATTTTCTCAGGGAATATCTCACAGATGAAAGTGATTAATTTGTAATATTGATTACACAGGGATGGAAACTGTCAAAAGAAAAACAAGGTCATTTTAGAACCACATAGCTCTATCCTGATGTTATTTCCACCTGTACAAAGAGATAGATCTGATGCTTTCCACTGAAGAAGAACAGAAAATTCTAGGCAACAACCTCAGTCACTGGTGGCTACAGCTATAGCAGCAAAAAGCATGGTGCAATAAAAGCAGACCACTAAAGCAGAAATGTTTAAATTGATGGCAGGTGTCCAGTATCTACTCCATACAAAATCATGGAGTTTTACTTCACACATGAGCAAGTCTAGTCCCGTAGCATAAAAGCCTCATTAGCATTTGGAGTACAAGAGGGGTGCTCCTAGGGCACATCCTGACTTGGTTTCATCTAAAATGGATGTAGCTCCCATGCTCAGTGGGTGCTACCAGGTGAGAACCAAAGCCTATTAAGAGGGGACAACTGAGGTACCCTTCAGAATTGTTCCCCTGATTCAAAGTAAATATTAGCACAGTGTAACCCAATGAAATGCTGCCATTTGGTTGTTTCAGATTTTACTGCCCTACTGGCAACCTGCTGTCTATGACATGAAAGCATCGCAAAAATAATTAGAGTTGCAATTTGCTCCCAGATTTTGTTTTGTTTTGACTAATATCACTCCTGATGCTTCCTGTCACATTTCTGACACTATCACAAAAAGGATTCCACAGGCCACGTTTCAGGGTTGGCTAATTGTTAACCTGCACAGACTTGCTTTTAGAGGGAAAAAATATTTGTTTAGGACTTTCAAACATGCATTTCCACAGGTTAAAATACTTATTTTCTAATGGTATCTATAACTAGAGAAGCTATTTACTTTTTTAAAAGCCTAGAAAATCTAACTCATGGAGGTGAAGTGCAATTTAGAACCCATTTCCGGGAATTCATTACTATAAACCTTTCATATCTGAGCAGTTACATGTGAAAATATACTTACCTTCAGCAGATCCTGGGACATTAGAGGCAGAACTAGATTAACCCCATATAAGACAACATCTGCTGCCGATACAGATCTATTTGTGGCTTGTCCAGGTTCATGTCCTCTAAATACTTCATCTGTAGAAAAGGTAAAAAAAAAATATTTTTTATAAGAAGAGGATCAAATATATTGAAGAGTCACATTTCTTTGATTAAGACATTTTTCATGATAGGACTATCACACTCTTCCCAAACGAAAACATGAGGCACTGTATTAAAATAGAAACTTAAGTGAGTAGAGACTGCCACATCACTCTATATTTATATTCATTAGGACTAAGCATTTCATAATCACATGTACCAGATGGCATACTAACCAGAACACTTCAGATACTTTGAGAGCTCCCTTCCATTACAGAATGGAAGGAAGCTCTCTTACACTTGTTTCTAGTGGTATCTGCCTCATGCTTGCACAAATAGACAGTGAGCAAATTATAGCATTTCTATATTTTCTGTAAATTTCTATATAGTATACATTATAGTACATACTTACATGAATTTTATAAACAGAAATAAGTGGAGGAATTTAGTAAATAAAAACCTGCAATTTAGAACTTGCCAAGTTTCTCCAGTTCCTGTTCAGACCTGTATGTCCCAGCGACTAGCAATGACCTTACTTTTACAATTCTTCCATTAAGTTAATAACAGTGACCAGAGAAGTTTCAATACATTTGATATCTGGGTATTATGTTTAGGTAGTATTCACAGTCCTTAGTTTCACTTTTTTTTTTTTTTTTTTTTAAACAGCATTTTTGATGCTTCTAACAACCAAAGTCTGACCAAGAGAATGTGTTAGATGGCATTGAGATGCCCACTCGATGGACAAAGTCTTATTTTGGTTCTGTATTTTTGTGTTGTACATACACAACAGAAAAATGAGACAGATGCAGTGAATTTCAGAGCACAAAGTTCCCTCTCCTTCAAAACCCTGGTGCCTTAGAACAGCAGTGAAAAAGATCAAAATCATGTAGGCAGATTCAGTTTGTTGCTGAGCAAGTTTTCGGCGCAAACTGAACAGGACATGGTAAGAAATAAATCATGCAAATGTGTTTTAACTTTTTCAAAAGCAATACAACACAGTTAAGCTAGAGGCGGCAGATAAAATTGCATTAGTCCTGAATATGAAGTGGCAAAGATACAGAAGAAAGCAACAGGCTGGGAAAAAATAAAAATAAAATAAAAAACCCAACCCATACCTACATAGCATAACACATATTCTGTGAATGAAGAATACAGAAAAGCCTCAAACTTGATAGAATTTTCATGAGCTCAGCATTTCACACAGTTAGGATCTTGTACTACAAAGACAACCCATCTGCTCTTGCAGTAATTTGCTAATCTGACTTCTCTGTAGTTTCTGCTAATTCATGTTCTGACTTGCAGCATTCATTTTTTAAGTTGCTGTTGTCAACATGCCCTATTTATTTTATAAGAACAATAATTATTTCTGAATACTGGAAGATGTGCCATACTATGAAAAGTTCTTCCTTTGCTACTTGCACAATAAATAATTTCCATATCCTGATAAAGCCTAAACTCAAGTTTCCAATTTACCTAAACTGAACTCATGCCCTATGATGTTTTTTTTCTGATTTTTTTTTTTTTAAACTGTTTTAGAATACAAATTATGGCTCGTCAGTTACCAATTCCTCCATACCTGTATCACTGAAATCTATGAATTCTTTTGATAGAAGATTAGTGAGAAGCTCCATTATAAGGAGAAGATCCTGGTACTGATCTTCTTCTGCTGTAACATCTATCCGTTGCCGACCTAGATTATTCTTGGAATACACCTGGAGCAGAGTTAGGCAGGCCTCATACAAGTTCATGGCTTTGGCCTAGAAAACAGTGTCAGATAACAAGAAAATTTTATGTTAGAAGTGACACCCTTTGTTTTAAGATGGTGCTATGTGGTTGATGATACCTGAAGATTTTCATTGCAGTTATACTATCCATTTTTGTAACAACCGCACCCAGAATCATTAAGGAAACAGCTATCTTCAATACTGAGAACACCTACAGCCATATATTTACGTGCTACTGACAAACATAACATTACTTTCACCAATTCCTCAATCTTAACTCTTTTTTGAGTGGCTTGGGCCAGGCTGACACATCCCACTGGTCTCACAAACTAGATTAAAATTATCAACAAGATCCCAAAGGGACTTGCTTTTGCTATCAAAATTTGGAGCCATAATACCCTCTGTGCATACACATATTGAAGTAGGCTTCTCCTAGATGTAAAAGCCATTGCTTCTGGATGCAAAAGTAAAATTAGCCAACAATGCAAAAATGTAAGCAGCCTGCATCAACTCATTTTACCCGATAATTTCTTGGTAACCATTATGCACTGTTTAGGACCAAAGCAGCATCTCTGTGGTATGCATTTGTCACATAAAACAGTGCTGCAATTCTGATAGACAAACCTTCAGAGAAGTTTGGTACGGTTAAATAAGCATTCAACATGGTCTGTACTCTTGCCACCCCTTCACGGTAAGGCTGGTGATGAATTATGGTCAAGTTTATTGCTAAAAGAACAGTCTAGACATCCTGCTTTTAATCTTTGGGAGTGTATGTTTTTAAACAAAGGAATTCCTCTAGCAGATGTGACCAGCTAGCATTTATTTCTATATAGACAGAATAGTGATGTAAGCATACAGAGGTTCTTTCTGTATAGAATACAAAAATCTCTCTGCTATTTTGTACAACACATGCACACACACACATACACACACTTCTCCTCCTTCCCCTCTTGGTTGTATTTACCTCTCCAAGATAGCAAATTTGTTTATGTGCAACTTCAACAAAGACTTCTATTATGAGATTAACAGTCTCTGGTGTGTTTTTGTATACTTCCATTAATCCAATGCAATTATTAAGGAAGTCCATTAGGAAATTAAAGAGAATTGCTACATTATCAATCTGGGTAGCCTCAGCAATGCCACAGAGTGCTTCCAACGTAGCAGTGATCTCCTGTTTCACTTCCTCCTCTTGGCAGATCTGCTGAAAGTTTTCTTGGTTTATCACATTCAGGAATCGCTGCTGAAGTGGCTGAAGAACCTTAATTTTTTTTTTGAAAAGTCACAGTAAGATAAGTATATTATTACAAGAATGAAATTTGAGGTTTAAGTAATTTAGCAAGCACGAGTTGTTTTTAGCACAACAGTACAAGAAGCATCAATTCCAGTTTGCAATGGCACAATTACGTTATTTTCTGTCACATTAACATAAACTGAAGTGATAATTAGTGATTCTCATCATCCACCATCACCTGCAGGTTGGTTGCAAAATGAGCACCTCCATAAATATTTAATATTATTTTGTACTGTTTAAACAAATAACAAGGACTTTCTCTGAGTCACATTATTTGATTCTTTTCCAGGGTCAGCATTAGCAACGAAAGGTCAGCAATGAAAGCATTTATTAAAAATCATATTCACAATTACCTTTGTCTTATTAGTACAATTCTTGGTAGTAAAATTTCTCTTATAATCAGCCTACGTGACTGCATTTGTAAGCTAACCCAATTTGAACCCATTTAGACATTTCCATAAAACAGTTAAATGTTTTTCCCCAATTATTTCCAGTGCCTTATCACCTTACCCTCAATCACTAACTTTGTAACTTTGCTAATGAAAATAAGCTTCTCTCAGAAGGCCAGTGCTTTTCACTTCAAGGGTAATGTGGTGTAGCTGAAGTTGATCAGGAAGCATTATAGCGCCAACCTTTCCACTATTAAATATCTGAGCACTAATGGAACCAGGGCACAGAAAAGCTGGTTGAGGAGCTTCATTATTTTTCACATTAGTCTTACTCACTGTCATTATCATTAAGTGAATAAATGAATAATTCATAAACACCACCTAATTAAAATAGAGGAAATGGCACAACTCTGATGAAAGGCCTTAACCTTTACAAAAGGTCTCTTTCAAGTGTACTGCTAGACTGGCTTATTTCATGAATCCCCAAGTAATTTTGAGTTATTTCTGTTTAGGTAGTAATGATTTAGATATCATGGACAACACCAATAAGCTGCCAAAAAATTACGGCCCCTCAAAGAAAGAATTAAATGTTTGAAAGAATTAAATGTTTGAAACCTGAAGATTTTCTATGAGCTGAGTTTGCACCACCATAAAATTCCCTGAACTAACTTCAAACTTTGTTTGTATTACTTGCAAAAATGAAGATAACAGAAGCATCAAAACAGCTTACCTCTGTCCAGTATTGTTGTTTTGTTTCTGTATCCATATGAGCAAAACCTCCTAAAACTAAAGCTTTCATTAGTGTTCTCTGCACAGAACTGGACAAATAGTGAAGGGGAGGGCTTCGCCTTGCAAATTGTTTAGCTAAATTCCACCAGTTTTCACATTGAATAACTAAGTTTGCCCTAGAAGGGGGAAAAACATTTTGATTAAAGAAAATACTCCAAAAAATTGTATGAACAGAGTGCATCAGGCTGCTAGCATTTGTCAGAAGATTTTTATTTTTAAATTTAATTCCTTGATTGTAAGGCTAAATTGCCTTTTGACTTTCATCTTATTAATGTCTCAAGCATAAAATTTCTGAAGTGTATACTCTGAAAGTAGCTCAATTCATATGGGAGAAAAGCAGGGAAGTACTTAGTTTTACACACAGACAGACACACACACAGTTAATGGATATATTGCATGGATTAAAAGCTTAGTCTCATTATGTCATGATAAAATAAGCAGTTTATTCCAAAACTAGCTCCTGTGTTTTTTATTTATCTTAAAAAAAATTTCCTCAAGCATTTTGCTCCTCAAACTTCAGCCTTTCAGACTGAACGCATGATTGCATGTCAATTCACAGAAGCAAAACATTCAAGAATTTTCTTCTTCACAGTTTGTAATACCACAGAAGTTTCTGAAATTTGTCTGAACCCACCAAACCCTATTTATTTATTTTTTTTTCTTTAAAAGGCTTATTAAGCATATTTTATACTGGTTTAGCCAGTATCTGAACTCAATCTGAAACAACTTGTTCAACAAAAACAAACAAACATAAAAATCCTTGCAATAAGAGTGGAGACCCGGAGAATTTTCCTTTCTCACTGTTTGTGTGAGGCACAAAGGTAGGGGAAGGAGAGTGCACTGATAAATAATAATAAAGATTAGGTTAACATTTTATCAAATCTAGGTCTCACTCCTCACTTTGTCAGACAAGTTTTTCCTCCATTTATAGTACGTTACTAAAGTAATTTGACTTACAGAGACATGAATATAAAGTGCCCCATATCTGGATTATTTTGGCCAAAAAAATTTAAAGGAAGCAAAAGAAATTTTTTGACTTCCAGAGGTGTAGCAACTTACCGCTCTCTCCTTTCCACTAATGTTACTAGCAGTTGTACAGTATCATTTGCAAGGTCCTGCTCTGAACTCCACACTGCCAGGTTACTGATCACTTTTTCTAAAAGGTAACCCACAATCCACTGGGAACCCTCAGTATCAGCACCAAATGCTGTACTAAATGGCAGACTTATCTATAAGAAAAGCATTAAAATGAGTGAGTTTTACAGAAGGCAGAACCCCAAAGTGTATGGTAATCAGCAAATTCTTTTCAGGCTGTCACTTCTTCCCTACTTAAAATACACAAAAGTTACATAGATGAAGGCAAAGAATACCTGTAACAGAAAAATCTTTGCCAAATTTATCTTGCAATTTTAAGCACAACACCTAAAAGAAAGAAAAGTTTCAACCTCATCACAATATGTTTAAGTATGTCTAGCTTTTAATGCCAAGGAAAGTTCAGAAGATTTAAAAATTAAGAGAAAGATCCCAAAAAATCATCGCCCGAAAGTGTTTCCATTAATTTATGATGAAACTCCTCAAAATTAAGTGATAAAATAACTGGAAATAAGCCTAGCTCTTGATCTAGTTTGAATCTTGTAAGAACTTCTTTTCATCACAGTCTTTTCTACATCTGCTTTCTGCATTATTCCTTCAATCTACGCAGCTTTTAGGAAAGATGTCACATTCTGGTCCTGGTACATTAAAATATGCTTCCTTGAAATTGCCTTCTTGCCTATCTTCAGAAAAAAAGTGTAAGAGGGAAATGCAAAGACTTTGTAATATTTGTTCAGGGGCTTCCTGTCAGCACACCACCACCATCTGAAATTATAAAATTCATAATATATACCTGACTGAGCATAAGATTTAAAAAAGAAGTGTTCAACCACTTTCACGTGCCAGCACAAGCAAAATGTGTACATTTCTTAGATACCATTTTTCATGCTCTGCAACTGATGGCTTTGCTCTGCTGCAAGTACAAGTTAAATAATGTAATTCTAATTCATTACAAGTCTTCAATATCCCTAACTTTGTCTCCTGAAGCGTTAGTATTCTTAGTTGCTTCAGTAGTGGAAACAAGGGGAGGAGGAGGCGGCTTCCTTCTCAGAAGTTAGAGCCAACAGGACCTTCTCATGAGTGGCCTCCATTAGCTAGCTGGAGTATCGTTAGTTGTATAAGCAAAATCAGGATCAAGGTCTAATCATGATTAGTGCTTTCCAAACATGATAAAATGTTGCCCTTTAAGAAGAACGCATCATAGAAATCATGATATATACAATGAGAACATATGAGAATAGGGAGAGGAGAGAAATTAACATGATTTTAGCTTATATATACCACCTAGTGATGGTGCTAGATAATCATGACCAGGTTACTCAATAAGTCATCCATCAAGGGCAACCACTGTATTGAAGTTGAACTGTAAGATCTGATATAGCTTAACAAATTGCTGTGATCTGTGAGTTTCACCCACTAGACAACCTGAGAGCGTGTTATGCTATTCTGTGATGCCGCTAGCTACAAAAATCACATTTATACCAAGATGTGCAAGAAGGGTTCCCTAACAACTTATATTTCTAATGGAAAAAAAAAAAACAACAACATCTACTTTCAAACAATTTAAAAACCAACCCCAAATACAACATTAAAAATGCTTTATCACTGCACCTTAGGATAGCTACACTGACATCTGCATTCCAAGGATATTGTTGCTAATACTCACCAATTCATTCATAAAGGTTATATCCTTACCTGATCATACAGCTTTTCATCCACCAGGAGGTAAGTCTTTGCCCAACGCTTGAGGAACCATACAATATCTTTGCCCATCTGTGGGCTCAGAAGGTGCGTGAGATTTGCCCTTATTGCTCGAGATTCTACTTCTGACACTCTTAAAATAGCCGATAACAACCTGCAGATTTAAAACACAACAAGGATGTTGAGTGTTCTTTGGAAAAGTAATGTGACTCTGTGAAACGCTTTTTTTTTTCCACGAAATATGAGGAAGGAACAAAATAATGAAGTATTTCAACTCTAACAAAGTGGAGAGCAGTTAACTTCTTTCTTTAAATGCAAGGAGAGAGACAAAATGGCAAATACCCTCCACAAAGTCAGAATATAAGGTGGTCTTTGACATCAAAAATACTGCAACAGAAGAATCCTGACAAGCACTCTAACTGATTCTCCCTTTCCTGCATCAACCACCTTCTTCATTACAAATTGTGGCCTAATCATGCAGCTGTTGCAGCATGATACAGCCAGAGCAATGTCCAGTTATTTCTTACTTCTTCATTACCACAGAGAAACAATATGATGTAGCAGACCACCAAGTGATTGCATTAATACACTCAGTCAAGAAAAGTATAATATTAGCTTTTACAGTATCTCAACTAAATTTGGTAAGAATTTGCAAGTCCTCAAGGAATTTATGAGTTGGTGGTGTATTTCTGTTTTTAATCCCATCTGCACTAAGACACTGCAATCAGAAATTCTGGTTGTTGACCAGTTCTTGTAGCTGCCAGGATTGGCATCAATGACCAGTATTCAAACTTCTACAAGTCCATGAAGCACTTAACTGCCCACAAAGATCCATTTTTTCTAACCTTTTCCAGAAGACAATGTTAAGTACACAAGTAATCTTGGGTGAACAATATTCATGCCAATAAAAAAAATTTGAATTGAGCCTTCTGAATACTGAAGATTCAAACTGAGGACTCCTTTGTGGGCATCAGCCTTCTTGCAAAAAGAGAACAGAAATCCCTTATGCTTTTCCTTAAATATGCTAATAATAATAATGTGTACATAAGGGGCAACAACTCTCCCCCCAACGAAGACCAAAGCTGCTACTTCCAAGCTGAGGCTAAGTCATGGCCAAAGACAAGTTCACTTAAGCTTTGGAAAGCTCTTGCTTAAGCTGCACACGTGCAGGATACATTATAGATAAAAAAAAAAAAATGATAATATACTAGGCAATGTGTTGCTTTAAAAACAAATGTTTCTTTTTTTAGTATTTTGAGTCATTTTAAGGACCTTCTGTAACAAACAGATCAAAGACAGGTTTTCAGTAGTGATAAAGTATTTCTATTTATTTTAATAGGTAGATCATGTCCTCAATTACAACTATTAGGTCATCCAGATAGTCATTTCTGCCATCCCATCTCGACTAAGTTTTATCTGTTTAGATGCCATACTTTTTCTTCCCTTCAGTCCCCCGCCCAGGTCAACATGACTTGAAACATCACCTGTAATTACTCTGCCTATCTCTACCCTAAGAAAAAAAATAATAAATATGTAACTTCATCTTTTCTGTCTTTTCTTTTATAGCATTGCCTTAATAGGCAATAAAACCATTCTTATAAATTATTTGCCTTTACTTTAAGACTATTTAAAAGAGACGTTTCATTTCCAATGTTTGGTGTTTGCATATGTCTTTTTTTCTTTTTCATTTCATAGAAGTCCATTTATGTTCTCACTTCTCTGAAAAAGCATTTAACATACTTACCACATGATGCGTTCTTACCTAATTACAGAATCAGTTCTGTTGTACCCTGGGATGGAAGAGGCCTTTTCTCCTGGAGATCCCAGAATTTGAAGCGTTGTGTTGATGTCAACCTCAGCTGAATGTTTAATGGAGTATTCCATTACTTCTGGAGGTATTAGCGGAGTCTCTCCCTGAGTATCATTAGCCAAGAGGTAGCCTTACATTAAAAAAAGAAAGAATGATCACAACTTTCTACCCTAGGTTAACTTAGAGCTTTTTGATTAGTCCACTGGATTAACTGCCAACATCACACCAGAAGCAAATGTTTACACAACTCCTGACTAACACTGATTAAATATGTAGAATTAACTTCAGAATCTATAAAGCCATTCTGTAAAAAAGAACCTAAAGTGAAAGTAAACTAATGCTGAAAAATAAACCACCAAATTAAATAATAGAAGAGGGAGAAGAGCTTTGCTTCCTGTGAAAGAACAACAGCCAATTTAGGTACCCGAAAAAATATTCTACAACACTGTGGTCACTTTTTTCTCCTTCAGTTACATGATAAAAATTGTTCAATTTTACAGCTTCCCTACTGAGTCCATCTCATCTGGGACTTCTGCTCTGCTAATATTTCAATCTATAGAATCTTTCAGACACCAAACAAACGTGCTATAATAAAGTTTTCTTTGCATAGCAACAACAGATCAGGTAAAGCAATGGTTTTCACAGTAAAATACTCTGGTGTCCAGATAATTAATATTAATTCCAGATTTAGTCATAGTTTTCAGTGTCTGATCTCACAGTCATCTGAGCTACAAATATAAACTTCATCGTACAGCAATACAAAAATATTATAAACACATTTATGCTAACATCTGAGAGCAACTATAACATCAGACATTCAAAAAGACCCCACAAAATATTTCATAAAGTATACATTTCTCCTAATAAAATACAGACACTGTCTTAGCTGATCTTACGCTTTGCAAGCAGATGTAAGATAGTTCCATCTAAAAATCAAAAATACGAATGTTCTGAACTCAAGTTCCCTGAAACACAGCAAAAATCCAGGACATGGATCATCAGTCCTGAGAGATTCTGGAACATAATTGACTCTTTGCACCACAAAGTAACACTGCTATCCTGATCTCATATGGATTCCCTTCAGTCACAGTGAGACAAGACAATATAACTGAAACCATGAACAGGCTAAATTCTTGAATAGGTGGATCTCAGAAGTCTATGACAAAATTACTTGTGGGAATTTGAAAAGGACGTACCTCATAAAAAGATTACACTGATCTTTTAAAGATAATTTTCATGTTACTGCAGACAGATGAAAGTGAGACAAAAACTTTGCACGTAGTCTAAGATGAAAGCACCACAAAGATGAAATAGATAGTCAGTTACCCGTAGTTGACATGCATGGATTTTTCTTTCCTAAGATTTTCCAGCTGCAACAGCAATATCAAAGTAAGCACTATTTAACACTGTTCACTCACCTGTGACTAAAATAAGCCAATGAATATCCTCATACAGGTCATCAAGCACTTTATTGTCAATTGAGGCTGATGCTGGTGAGGCAAGTAACTGCTGCTGATGTCTTTGCAACTGACCATGGAGCCTTGTAACTCGGTCTTCTAATAAACTGTGGACAAACAATAATAAAATAACTTCACTGGTTTTAAATTGTTTCAGCAAAGTCAAGCTTTTCCAACTTGGTGGATTTATTCATTTGCATTCACACTATCTTTCCATACCTTGTAAGAAGAGGTATACAGTGTTCTGCAGCAATTCTTCCCAGCATGCCTACGCTGGCCAGCTGGTCACAGAACTGGTCTCTGTCGTCTTCCTGCAGTTCACTTATTTCCTCTTCTTCCCGAGAGGCCACACCATTGGCAGTCTGATGTTATTTCAACAAAATTAGAAGCAACCAGTTAATGTTACACTTGCTAGAACTTATCACCACTGCACTTTTCTACGTAAATTTGTTTTTCTTCCAAGGTGTTTTGCATGGATACACAACAGGCTTGTGCTAAATTACATACAGATGAGGTAAACAGGGGAGTAAATACGACTTTATATTATTTTGAAATCAGCATTTCACAAACTTATGCAAGGAGCTGATTTTGCTAATATTTGCTACCATTTCCAACAGTGCTCTCGAGTCAAAAGATCCACTGTTAGTGAAAGAAGTCAGATGAGAGCCATGAAAACTGATACTAATTATTAATAGGATAAGCACAGGCTGGAGCAGCAAAACAGCTTCTTTATGCCACATACATAAATTGGCTCTGGTAAGCATCCACCGCTAGAGGTACAAAGCGATGTACTGAATGACTCTCATTCACATAGAAGGTCTGTAAACCCAATGGTCAGAGGATTTCTAAAATATATTTGGATTTCAAATCACATATATAATCAGGCGAAGAATCATTTTCAACTCTCCACTTTGTCCTGTTCATTAGTCAAGAATACTGTTCCCAGTTATCTGAGATCTTAAAAATAAATTACAAGAGAGGTAGTAGATTTCTTGATAAAGTGAATGTCACCTCCTTCAATAAAGATTTTCTATAACTTGTTGTTTTAAAAAAGCATACCTTTAAAAAGTAAATGCTACAACCTCAGAAAAAATAGAAGGCAAAGTAAAAATATCTCAAGATGAGATTCTTCTCGCCTTGGCTATATTTTAAGACTGCCTAGTAATCAGAGCTTATTTTCCTGAAGAGTTGAACCCTTATATGTAGAAATCACGTATCAATGCTAGAAGTGTTTTCAAAAATCTCTTGAATGACAGAATTTACACCACTAACATTCAAATATAAGTGACAGAGAAAGCTATCATTACATATTGTTCCTACAAAGGCTCTGGAAAATTGAATCTAAACACATTTTCTTACGTAAAGTGCTTTTACCCCATCTTTTCTTTATCTAACCCAGCAAATCATTCTCCTTTGGCAACTTCAAAGTTGCAGCTGTTTACTGAAGAGTGAGTCTCTGCTCTCAAAGCAGAGACTGAAAGTTCCTGTTACTGCTTTGATATCGAACAAGAAGCATTCTAAAATGCCAGCTGTGGCTTTTAAAAGGTTACCCATGGGATAAATGACTTATCTCACAGAATGACATGAATTAACCTGTGTATACAAGCTATGTCAAGACCGCCTGATATGAATTCAAAGTTCTCTTGTGAAATATTCCTCTCTGTTTGGCATTGTTATTACCATCTGTTACATATCAAGATACTAGACATGGGTTTTAAGCATGGCTTTTCAGAATGAGGTATCCTGGAGATCTTTGCATAGCATCACTTTTAAGAGATCAATTTTATATAGCTAATGAATCAAATCTATGCAGTAATTAATTCATTCAGCATCTACATCCAAGTTTCAGTACCACAATCTGTTTCAGTAAGATCCATACTCCTGGCAAAGAGACTAACGGGCTTTCGCAGAGGGCCAAGAGATAGCCGAGGTACTTTTAAGTTTGTTTTTTTGAGAACAGCCACCTCAAAAATTCAGTAAGGAATTTATGTACCATTTTGTCCAGAAGAACCACATAATATTTCATGCTTCTTTTAGTCTAAGCATAGTCATTCTATATTTTCTCAGATTACACTTCAAAAGTATAATTTGAAGATAACGTATGGGAAATAACAGGATAAAAGGCTTCCAGTTTCATTGGAGATTTTAATTATAACCCAAATCCAGAGAAGGGTGGTCAGAAGTTTAGTCATTGCATCTATAGGGAGGACCATCAGGAAACACGCCAATTGCACTAACAGGTTTATTTTATTTATTTTTAAAAGTAACTTCCAACTTTGTATTCCTTCATTTCCTTTTCATAATGAGAGAAGGAGACTGGAAAATGACCTCTGATTAACAAATTCAGCAAATTTTTCATTTCCATTCAACACCACAAGTAGCTCCCTTGAGCTACATAATAAAGTATACAACAACAAAATCCCCACGTGGGTTAGTTACTCTGTATTATCATCAGAAACTACCACTACAAGGGCTTACCAAATTCCTTGTACCATCGGGAGCAGCTAGATGGCACTGAATGTAAGAATTAAAGACCTGAACAGCATGTTGGGTAAAGAAACCTTTATGGAAATGTTTGTCATCTTGTACCAAAGTAAGCCAAGATTCCAGCAACTTATCATATGCTTCCATATATACCATGTCATCTTTGTCAAGCTGTAAGAGATGAAAGAAACAAAACAAACATCTTATTCCTAAACTAAACCAGAGGAAGGTACTTACATTCATTACTATTTAACAGATGTTCTTCTAATGTTGAAGCAATTTAAGAAAAAAAAAAAATCACAAAACTTATTATTAGCTATCCTTGAACACATCAGAAATAACTGAATCAATGCATCAAAAAGGTCAATGCAGCTTTGCTAGAATTAAAAAACAAACAAAAACCCTACTGTGTTTAGCTGTTTCTTTTCTTCTAATGTTCAAAACCAAACCAGTCTTAATTTCAGCCTTTCATACATACACATAATCACCTAAATACAGGAGCTATCATGCTTTCTCTCCAATGACACCAAGCATCTCAGCTCATACTGGAAACAACAAAGAATTGAGCTATTTGTTTAATTAGACAAAACAGAAAACATGCATATAGATTAGCAAGTATTCTGCTATTTTTCAAACAAAGAGACAGAAAAGATTATGACTCTCTGTTCTGGAGGAAATCATTACAAGACTGCATGTATTAAAGAAACCCTACTGTGGGCAGCCAGTTTTGATGACGATACACAACTTCCCGTTATGTGAACAAAGGAAAAGGACAATTCCATAGAATAAGCCTGCATCTCCAAGTCATTAGTGCATTTTAATTGACACTTCATGCTTTTAGCTATTCACATATATTTATATGGGGTATTTAAGTTGCCAAATGAAATTCTTATCTGAAAAACAAATCTCCTGGGTTACAGGCAACCTAAAGAACCCAGATACCAAAGGGGTTGTTTCTCTTGAAAAGGATATTTAATGCAATTATCAATTTTTTTTTCACTTGACGCAAAAGTTGAACTTTAGTAAACACAACCAGCTTCATATAACTTAAGTGTGACTCGATGGATAGATTTGCTGGTATTGCGGGACTTCTCTTTCCTCTAAGTCTTCTCAACTTTTAACCAACATGATCACTCACCAAGGTTACTTTGAGATAACAGAGCTTAGTAAAATGATTCCTTGATGAAATACAGAGATACTGAGGCCTTAATCATGCTCCAGACAGAGGAATTCCTGACTTTCAGTGAAGTTACAAACATGGCTGCATGAACAAAGGGAAAAAAACGTTGGCTGGATGACTGACTAAGAGGGAAAACTGATACCATGTTGGAAGCATTTCAAGATATTTTCACAGCATCATTCTGTAACTGCAAAGTGGTCGTATTTACATTAGCTAAAATGTGGGGCACATGCAAGTTTGAAAAACAAAAGCTGAAGATGATGATGAGAGAGACCAAACTGTATTCAACGCTAACATAAAACAAATTTAGGACAGGCACAGCATGTTTTTAATATTTGGCTAAAGGACATTCATTGAAACATGAAACACTTTGATATGCGTGTATATATATGTGTGTGTATGTGTGTATTTTTTTAACTTACGTACAATTAATAATTTATAAGAATCCAGAACATAACACAAGAAACGATGTCCTTTTATGAGAAAAAAAACAACTCAGATTTGAGAAGGTAATACAGAATAAGCCTTTTTTGTATACTATTACCAACACCTTACAGTATTTTCGTAAGGAAGCTAGGATTAGCAAGTGCCTCCTTAAAGTAGGTGCCCAAGCAGTAGGGTTTATTGATCTTGAACAAATATAATCACAAAGGAACCTTCCTAAAAATTCCCAATCTTGTTTTAGATTAGTCATTCAGATGAAAGGCTACTGCTGGGCTACTGAAGATGTCATGCAGGCAGACTGTATGTGACAAGCTGCAGACTGGGAAGCAGAAACTTTCTGATGGATCTACCAGAAGAAGTTGGCAGGGCCCAGTTCAGGACTTAAGATTTTCAGGAGAAGCAAAGTACAACCACTAACATCAAAACAATGCTGCTGAATTTCTCCAAGATTCTTCCTTCAGAGTCTGCCAACCTTCTGAAGAAAGAAGGCTTCTAAAACTTGCTAAGTAGCAGCAAACTGGGAAAAGTTATAAGCAAAGTAGAGAGAGACCAAATTCAGAATGATCTCTCCCCTTATGCAACTTTAAAAAAGCAACAATAAAATACCATAAATCAGGAACTCAGGAACAATGCATTAAGAAACACATCTGAGAAAAAACAAAACAAACCAAAACACTTTGAGAGCATTTCTATTTGAATTTTTATTCAACATCTTGTTCGTACTCTTCACTAATTCTGATCAACTACTAGACTCCTACTTCTGCACAAGCTTTAAGCCTTGAGCAAAGGAAAGCATAGCTGTGGACAAGCATCTTCTCTCATACCTAGCGTTATTAAAGGAAGAGACGACTGATCCAAATTGCATCATAAATTAACCCCAAGCATTGCTGAAGCTTACTGTCCTCCACAGCGTAGCTGTTCTGGCAAATGTTCCAACAACTTCCCTCAATCAACAGCCAAGTAAATGTGAAACAACATTTGAACATGTTTGGATTGTGTGTGGGTTTTTTTCCTCCCCCTTTGTTGAATATCAATATTAGCAACAGCAGCAAGTACCACCAGCAACAGCTTCTGATTCTGTGCCAAGACACGTGCTGCTTTGAAGTGGTTTGCTCATTACAGTTTGGGACCTCCTGATTTTGACAGTTTCAATAGCAAGCTTCTGGCTAAGCTGATTCCCTGTGTCTGGTGGGCTTTCTGCAACACTCACACAAGCCGTCCTGCTGGCACACAAAGTGGCAGAAATATGGGAAAAACAGCTTGCCCCATGAGCAAAGCCGTGCTGTGGACACCTGTGTTCTGCTGCATTTTAGATTTCTGAAATCTCAGGATCCCACTGAGCCCAATGCATGTGGTATTTCACCTTTCACCAAAAACTCTTAATTACAGAAAGCAATTAAGCTCATGAGCGTATGAGTTCACAGAGTACATTGCTACAAGCAATCTAAGCAAGTAGCTTAGGTGCTTAGGGACATAGTTTAGTGGTGGACTAGGTAGTGTTACACACTGGTTAGACTTGATGATCTTAAAGGTCTTTTCCAACCTAAATGACTCTGTGAAACACACTGACCAGGGCTGGAACATTCCTAAGCCAAAAGATTGCCTTCAGGGATGCAAATAAGTATTTCCACAGTTGCAGCACACCGTGCCACTACACCATCTGGATTAAGTCAGCAATAGTCTGAAATACTCTGTAGTGCTCCTTATTGCTGATACAATGATAAGATATACAAATTATTTTTTGAAGCCTGAATACCACAGAATTTTGTAATTATCCTGGAGATCAGAGCAACCACGTGAAGTTGAGATATAAGCTATACAACTGTTAGACCGAGGACACAATGAAGTGGTGGAAGTGTGATGTTTCTTTCTTCTACAGAACGCTTTAAAGATTCTGTGACAATGAACAAGTTCTTTCTTTAAAGAAAAAAATTGCAGTCTTCTTTCTTATCTTGCTGGATCTGATAACACTGTAATATAATATTGAAATGACTTTCTTCAGCAAAAACTAGAGGATTATGTATGCATAGGCAGACACATTCACTAGGCACGAGCAGCCAGCCATTTCCAAAACAAACTCTTTGTACCAGACAACAGTACAAGCTACCTCGGGCTTTTGCTGAGAGGTGAAGTACTCTGAGTTGGTGGCTTATGCTGAGAGCTCCTGAAGTTAAATATGGTTGTGTATTCTAGCTCTCCAGTAACGAGACTAACTGAAGAAATGTATATCCTCTAGTCCCTTTCATTTAAATGATAGGTATCAAGCCTAGTCAGTATATATAGAAAAACTGGAAAAAAAATCATTCTTTTTAATGATAATGGGGAAAACCCAGGATGGTGTCTTGATAGCTTCATTTAAATTAATAACTATTCCATGTAAATAGCTCAGGTGAAAGATGCACCTTAATTCTTACGGGCTTTTTTCATAAATTAGGTCTCCTTAGACATTTTTATTTTTAAAATCTTTTTTTTTTCCCTTGGAAGCAGAGGATTTAGCCTATCAAAATGGATCTTCCATGTTACAACCAAGGTTTGAAAGAAGTAAGCAAACAGAAAAGTCCGCTGAATTCCCTCTCCAGATTTGTACGTAGAATTATTACTTGAACTGTGTCAGTAACAGAGGAATGATTTAAGTTTAATAGTATGGGGTTAACAATAGATCTTAGCAGCTACATTCACTTCAAACAGAAGTTCCTGCCTGTAAAACCCCTGACAGCATAAGTTTCAGTCCGTCCATATGTTCACACAGTCATTTTAAGCTTTCACGTTTGTAGCATGTTCATTATCTACAACACTTTTCAGAGAAGTCCCACAAGAGCAATCCAGCAACATTTAAAGACTTTCATACTTTTTTAATGTACCCATTCTTTTAAAAGTGAAAATACGAAGCAGGTGCTTTAAATCAAAAGTTCGAAAGATGCAGTCTGCAATTGTTGCACATAAAAAAAATAAAACCCTTTCAGATGTGATTTCAGAAATATCTAGAACAAAAGCACCGGGTTTCACAACAGTTATTGACAAAACAGCCAGATTCACCTATCACTTATGCTTATTACAAGGAGAGGGAAGCAAAAAGAATACCTACTTTTTGAGAATGAATACTTACCACTTCTTCCAAGGCAGCACTTCTTCCAAAAGAACAAGTGAGATGTGCGAGGCAGTTAACAAATGAAGAGAAAAGTTCATTCGGAATGGCAGTTAAAATATTTCGAGGAAATACGGTTATCAGGTTGCTGATAATACTGGAAATTCCCACTGCTTCAGAGTCTTCTATTTCAATTCTATAGATAGAAATAGGAGTTAGCTTTCTGCCATCAAGAAAAGTGTTAAAAGCCAATTGATTTTCTAGATAAATTTTCAATCAATAAATCTATCTCGTGTTAGTTTAAGAAGCACCTACTTTAAGATGTATTTTTTTTGAAGTGTCAATAATCCAAGAGTAAACACAGATTATACCCAGAAATAAGCAAGTCATACCAGTTCTTCACACACACACACTGCACTCCAAACTAAAGATTAAAAGATGCCATCTAAATTTAGAGAGCAGGCATACATACCCATTGATAGTATTCAGTAATCCCTCAATGAAGTGTGCCAGGTAATCAACTTGTGAACCTTCGTCAGGAAAGACTGACCCATGCAAAGACGCCAGCTGTGCCAGACACTGTAATGAATCTTGGGCCATATCTGTATCTTCTCTGATTTTTCGATGCACCTTTCAGGAAGCGAGATAGTTAATAATACGCGGAAAATAGGATGTTCTTACAACAGTCACATGGCTCTCAATCCAAAAGAGCACACACCAAAAAAAGCTTACTATAACTTCTATTCAGTCTGAAACGCGAGGGTTTCTACGACTCCCTCAACCCTGGCAAATGTCACGATCATGACTCGGTTCACAAAATCGCGAGCCTGAAGTTAACTCGCTGATACTAACATTTAGTTAAGTCTTACATTTTGAAAATTGAACTGTGTACCGAATGTTATGTCTTAAAGAGAGAAACAGATGCCAGCCAGTCAGACATACTGCTCCTTCTAAAAACAGCAATAATGACAGTCATCTCTATTATGCTAACTATGCCTAGGCTACGGAGTCTTGCTAAAGTTAGTCAACAAGTTCAATCAAGATTATAGAGATGCTTCTTTAGCAGAGGTAAACACTGAAGACACACACAAAAATGAATGCATCACTTCCTTGGCAACACCCTTACATTATACAGGGCCAAGTCATCTTCTTTCATTTCTGTGTTACATCACTACTTCTGCTGCTAAGACCTTCTAGATTCAAATCTGCTAATATTTCCAGGAGACATATTCTCACAGTTCACACTACAATTATCAACTGCGGGTTTTAAGAATATTCTTACGCTCACGCCTTCTGTTTTTTTCATGTAAATTTTACTGAAAAATACAGGGTAGCTTTTTCCTCCACATTTTCCTCCGCAATTTACCTAAATTATATCATAAAAGTACAGTTAAGACACACTGACCACTTCCTTGTGGCATTTTATCTTCAGCTTCACCTAACTCATAACCAGTTGGATTAGCTGCATGGTTAACCTCTGAAAGATTAAACTGCCAGGAGAAACAAGCCCTGAAACAGAAATACCCCTCCTAATACGCATTCCACACTCGGTTGAGATTTCAAGTGAAGGCTTCCTCTTTAACATGGCAGTCTTGCCAAGTTTTGCAAGGTTATTAAAATTTCTTAGATCAGTTATATGAATATGAACGACCACCATTCACTTACATTACTTCAAATAGCAAGCTAATACCACCAGCCTCAACCATTGCGAATCAGGAATCTAAAACCAAAACTGACAGCAGACTGCCCTGGCTAGCCTTCATTCAAAAATAATCAAATATAGGCCTGCTTTGGTTGCCATTAAATAAAATGCGAATGTATTACAACAATTTTGCATGTTACTGAAAACAATATCCTCATCACAAATAAGTAGTCTTAATAAGCAGCCAAAGAAAGAGATTTAATGCAGACAACTTCATACTTTTAAACGAGGAAGGGTTAATATGTAAGCCAAAAAGTTATTTGCATGTGGAGGTTCACAGCTGACAGTAGCAACTGTCTGGATAGTCTAGACAGCTGTTCAGATTGTGTGTAGCTGCTAAGAGGTCTGCCAGTGATTTTTTCACCTTTTCAAAACTGCTGGAACAGATAAACTTTCAGTTAAAAAAACAATAACTTATAAAAAAAATCCTACAAAGTATAGACGTATCCAAACACATATCAGGCAATTCTCAAGCAGCCCTGGAGATTTCCATTTGCTTTATCTGGAAACAACTTTCTCCCAGCTTTGAGCACATTATTTCTTTGCTTTGCAAAAATGAAATAGCGAGAGAATGATGAATTCTGAGGTCCCAGGAGATTTAAGATAACAAAATATCACAGTAAACTAATTTATAAACCAATAATGCTGCTGCTGCAGCATTTCCTTGCTGAACAAAGACTACCAACCTTCCCCCCAAGAGTGGTGGAAAGTAACATTCATTTTATACAGTTTTAATATCAGACCTCTTTTTTAAATCACGGGAAGTGAATATTACATTCCCCTTTCCCCACTCTCTCTCTTCCCCATCACTCCTAACTTCATCTATCTCAATTTAACTTGCTTTGATTCACTTTGTGCTGCGGAAAGAGATGCAAAATTTAGTATGCTGGAACTGGCTAGAAAATGGCAATTACATTGCTTATTTTCAGCTATTCTGTCGAGCAAATGCTCTAAGATCAGCAAAAAAAAATAATACTGTTCATTTGAGAGCTGTTACACCTTATCTGAAAGGCATAGTCTAACCACTGCTCCCAATACTTGGTTTCATTTTTAGAATACATGTTCAAAAGCACTAAACAGAGCAAAGCTTAGATAACCATACCCTTTTTTCCTTAGTTAATTGTTACCAATTTAAGGCAATTTACAGGCAAAACACATATCTGTTAACCTCAGAAAAACACAATACTTTGTTTGCTCTGACAAACCAGTTGAAGTTAACTGAATCAGTCCTACCTGATGCAAAAGGAAGGATCCAAGAGTAAAGTTTTAAAACAGGAAGGAGCTGCTTTCCCTGTGGTCTGGACTATGAAAGTTGAAGAATGAAACTTACTGTAAAGAAAAGCTCCATAACTCTGCTGTCCAGGAGGGTCTCACGCCAGGATTCTGTTGGCTTTAGCATCACATTTTGTGAGGATTCAAACATAGCTATATAATGTCTGCCCAGTTATCTGGTGTCAAGGTCAACAATAACATTCCTACTTGGCTTTAAAAAAATCCTAGATACAACAGGATCCATTCAGAAAGAATGTAATGGAAACAAACTTTAAGCCTCTTCACATACACAGCATAATTCATGCATGAGGCCAAGGAATAAAAGGTATTAAGTATTGAAAAAAAGAATGCTCCAGGAATGTTAGATAACAGTTTGATCATAATTATGAGACATACCATAGTGATACGATCACTTTGATAACCAGGGTGTCTAATGTGACACAGCGAGAAGGGAAAAAAGCAACCGCAATTAACAGGTGTTAAAATTTATGCAAAATGGGAAATCATTTTCTAAAAAATTTTCCTGGCAGCTTTTAAAAAGGCCTGAGGATAGCTAAAGATAGCCCATTGAAATCTATATCCTATTTTTCTAAATAGCCAAATATGCCTCACAGAATGCAGATATGTTAGCCCCGCATTAATCGACATTTTTTATCATGCTGTGAAGAACAAAAGCGCAAGGCACCACAAGGCATTGTCATATTAAACATATGCTTGTAAAAAACCCACAATAAAAAGCGCCCACACTATAACCATGGCTTCTCTGCGCTCCTTTCAGTTATTACCGTATCATTTGGCATAATTATTTTTTATGAAATTCTGCCAGCGCAGAAAAATAACAAATACATGAAAAAAATCAATTAAACAAGCACGTTACATTCTTTGTCAGTCTGATCACACAGGGCAGCATTTATCACAGATTTTTGAAAGTGCTTCCTAGTGTGACATCCCTCAATCCAAGTAGCAGTAAAACTGCTTTAGCACACAAGTTATGTTTTAATTTCTCTTTTTAAAACCTTTCACCGCCCCCTCTGAATGCTTTGTAATGCAGCCATCAAAATAAGCAACAGCAGGCTCAACTGCATATAATCTACTCATTGGTAAACGACAAAATTAATACTGTTCATTAAGTTATCAGGTATTATAAAAAAAAAGTTTTTAAAAATAATGTATACTTCTGAATAAAAATAATTTTTACAATAGTACTGTTCAGGAAAGCAGATCCCTTGAACTCTGATGGGATTTGTTTGAGACCAATGTATAAAGCAAACATCTATTTTCACGTGAAAGATTGTCGTGCAAGGCAGGAGACACAATTTTGGTTTATTTACACTTGCCCTCTGAGTTCTGCCAAACACAGAAAATCACAGTAACACTGTGCAGAACAGTTTCAAAAAAGCCACTTTTTTCCACAGCACAGCACCAAGTGGAAATTCACTGAGGGTACGTGCCCAGAGCTGCCTTCAGCACATTACAATGCACGAGAACAATCACGGATTTTCACACATGTTGAAGCAAAACCAGTTTCACGATTTTCAAAACTCTCAGTGTGCGTTGAACACTACCAGATCTGCATTGTTTTAGACACTGAGAAAATAGAAATAATAATTAGAAAACAGATAATTCTCTATTTTACTTTCATCTGAAATACAAATGTCATTCAGGTGATCGAAAACACTTCAATTCTTCCAGATAAAAATAAAATATAGGCATGAATTAACACACCCATCCTTTATCAGAGTAATATTACAAATTAAGACTAATGTAATCAGAGCTGGTGCATTACGTTATGCTTTTTTTCCTTCTCATCTATAATACTCTGGGAAAAAAAAATTAAATTGTTTATTTTCAAGAGGGTTCTTTGCCTTAACTCTTGTAAAAGACTGGCATCCTTATCAAAGAGAGCCTACAGATATATTATCAGTCTCTGAAAATCAATTTGCTCTCCACTAGCTTGAGTTTGCAGGGGGGACGAGCTACGTAACACATTTCACGTGGAATGGAAGAAGGGCCGCTCTGCTGTCACTATTTTAACGAGCCCCAGTATTTAGTGGCCCTATCCTGTTATTTTTAGTGTCGTTTCTCACGCTAACGGACTGATGACATATCTGACAGACTTGTAGGTAAAATATCTGTTAATTGAACAATACAAATTACGGCTGCAGCTATTACGGAGATTTTACAGCCACTTTCTGTCCCACACCAGGTGAATGCAGACGTTAACGTAAGCTGGGTGTGGAGATGCTCCCTGCCATGAAACATCTGAACTTCTGCCTTATTAGCAGCAGCCTACTTGTGCCAAACCTGAAAAAATGGCACTAAATTACCTACTACATGGAGGGTGTACAGGACAAATGCAGTCTTCATCATCAAAACACGCAACAACATGAATGAAGCTCTACTGTAAAGTGTAAGAGTATAACTAGGTGCCTTCGTGTTTCATAAAGCTCTGGTGATCCCTGATTAGTGCCTAGAGAGGAAGAGGAGAAAACATGGTTTAAGATGGATTTTCTTTTATCTTTGCCTACATTCATGTATGCAGCCGTTAGTTCTGCACTTGTTTTTGTTTAATGAACTGGAGAAATCAGAGTAATCTGTCTTAAAAAGATTAAGTTCTCACTTTTAAAGTATAATTTGGAAAAAAGTTCTCTGTGATTCTTGGAGGAAAATACTAAAAAAAGAAAAAAAGATGATCAAATGTGTAATTTTCTTCCCATTCTTTGCCTCTCTTACAGGATGGGTAAAGATAAATATAAAAATATTTCATATCTTAAGGCAGCCATAGAGGGATTGTAACACTTCAGGACTTACCACAAATTCTAGTTTTTGCAAATGGATCCCAAGGTTGTGTTTTGGGGTTTTATTTTTTTTTCCCCTCCCTGAGAAGGGAGGCTTGCCCTGTCACAAAGAATGAAACAAGGAATTTAAAAATCAAAGCTAAGGCTGCATCTACCAGACTCCCATCTGCAATTTTTTCTATAGCAGTAAAGAACTCAGAAATGGATGAAGAACTCCTGGAGTGATGAGGCCCAATTTTTTATTTTAGCGTTTTTTTTTGTTGTTGTTAAGTTGTTTTAATCACTTTACCTTTGTTGTCTGGAATCTTTCTGGAGAGCTTTATATCAGTCTGAGACTTATACTTTACAAATAAAAATCCATTATTCAGGTAATGGCTTGGAAATCTGCCATCCTGTGTTACAACGCTAGCATACTGATTATATTTATATTTTTAAGACCTCCTCTGGCTTGCTAGTTAGTAAGCCAAGCACATGGGATGAGTCTAGGATCCACTCCAGAAGTGATGCAGAGGCTTGCTGCCCCCTATGGAGAATGGTTTCACAAATCTTTATACAACTCACACTCCTAGGAAACAGATCCAGCATTCACGAGAAGAAAGGTAGGCTTTAATATTAAATATTTGTTAAAAACTACTTTATGTGGGAGACACCAGATTCAGATTGTGTCTCCAAAGAAACAGGCAGAGGAGGTGTAGGAAGACACCAGCTAATCTTAAAACCAGCCAACTCTGGAGCTGCCATGCCAGCACAAAGTCTCATGTTGACCACCCAAGTGGATTAATTCTGCAGTCCTTGCTAAAATTTGCTATCTCTACTAAAATTTGCGACCACAGCTCTACAGCTAACAGTGAGCAAGCTGATCACTTCAAGCCTAACTTCTGTTTAAACCACCTATGCAGAAGTGATGGCCATACAGATGCAGCCCAAGACTCACACCTTCCCACTGCCTGCCACCTAGAAAGCTGATAAATTTCTAAGCATTAGGGATTCCAAAGTTATTTTTTTCTTAAAGAGGGATAAAACTGACAAAAGTAAAAGGCAGCTCTCTCTTTTACACTTAGAATCATAGAATCATAGAATATCCTGAGTTGGAAGGGACCCTTAAGGATCATCAAGTCCAACTCTTGACACCGCATAGGTCTACCCCACTTTCTTCAACACAGCTGTTTTAGTTGCAATGAATTCTTCCTCATAACCCAAACAACAGCCGGGACAGCACCTCATCCCTTCATCTTTCAAATTAAGACTGTAGTAAATTTAGGATAACCCCAGGGTGTTAGCAAACAGAAGACCTAAGGAAAGCAGCCCTGCTGCTGAAGGAAACCCACGTTGTCTCTCCTCAGCACAGTTGTATCTGCAGTTGTGCAACAAATCACAGTCAGGACCTCACCCCACTAGAAAAAAGCCCTCAGCCAGGCGGTTCCCTGCTCAGTATCACGCTCCTGAGAGATGCTGGGTCAGGATGCTTTTTCAGCAGCGATGCCAACTCAAATCATTCCTCAAAACAAACCTGGTGTTGTTTTTTCTGAGCACTCTGTTTTTCATGCACTTCCATTATGCACAACAGATGCTACCAATCTGGGTTGGACCGACTTCAAATCCTGAAAGCTTGCAGAGCTGTATGGTTCGCAGGATCTCCCAGAGAGGTCCCTCGTTCTGGCTTAAGATATTTTCACAAGAGATATGAAGAGCTTGTTCCTTTAAACATATAGCTGAGGAACACCCATACTAAAACCAGAATTCTGATCAGACAAAAGCTTCAGTCAGTTCATATCACTGCCACTGCACCATGAATTTTGACGGGATGGCAGTGATGCATACTAGAGGAGTGCATCCCATCAGGGTTACGTAACCTGTATTTTAAATCTAATCCCTTATTCTACATTCACCTGAAAATTTGCCAGCTTGCCTCCTAGCAAGAAGAGACACCAAATCAAAAACAAAAACTAACACTAAAGTTCCTGTTCATTCGTGTACTATTAGCGCTCTCTACAAAAAGCTGTAAAAAAAAATTGCACCTTTATGAATAAAATATGGGATAAATAGTTCCATAATGGCTCCTAATGACAGATAAGGAACACCTTGCTGTAGATGGGAGATAGCAGGACAAAGGCCTGATTAAGAACTTCTGCATTTGTGGGCATTCATCCAAAGTCTATTAGAACGCAGCTGCCAAGAACAGATAAATCCCAAAGTAAAGAAGTGATGAGAAACACCTCTGGAGGTAAAAGAATGTGATTACGTCCTGACTCCGTAGGACAGATTATACATTCATGTCAAAGTGCATTAGGGTCCAGCAATGCTGAATTCCTTAACTGGGGTCTTTGGACACTCCTCACGTACTAGGAGTGGGATCCTCGATAGTGCTCTTGTAAAGGAGAGGGCTGCATCTCTTAGTACCCATCATCTGCTTGCAGTCTCTTAACTATTCAGAATACTCACTGAAGAAAAGATTCAGTGTAAAACCAGTTCCATCCAAGTAACCAATATCTAACTGTGGTGTGACAGCACTGAAAAAGGAAACCCTACAGAAGCCAACATGCCACAACTGACTGCTGCACGTTCTTAGTGCAAAATAGGAATTCTATGCTATTGTCATTTCCAACAGTACTGCCAAAAATCCCCAAAGCATCTGCAAACATCAGGTGAGCTAATGCCTCGAGGTAACAGGTGAAAACAACAATAGGCGATTGCCTGTGGGTTAGAAAATGAAATGGAAGAAACTGCACGTGACTGAGAGGGAGCCTCCTAGGTCATCGTGCCTTACTGCTGCAGTAAGGCATTCAATAATTACTGAGCTCCAGCTTAAGAGCAGGTTGGTGTCAGCCTCTCCTCTTTCACTGCTCAACAAGGTGGCTACTCCAGAATGCACCTTTTATGCCAGATCTTCTTGCTGGTAATAAACAATTTATATTTACTACAGCTCTTCTAATTGCCAGCAGCGCTGCCTAAGGCTGCATTTAACAATGCAACACATGCCAAATTTACCTGTAACAGCACTTTTCACTTCTTGAGAAGTCATATTTTGATGTAATTCTTGCAATTTAGTGATATAAATGCTGTGCCTCAGTGAAAAATCACTACATCACTGAAAAGCACGTATTTATGCTTTTTTTTTTTTTTTTTTTTTTTTTGCAGGGGGCAGAGGGCACAAACTACCAGAATCTGCTAAAGATTACGTACAGATACTGCAGATAACTGCTATGCTGCAAGGAAGACTGAGAATAAATTATCTTGTTGGGAATATCAACTAAAGGAAAATATATATATATACACATATGTGGATACTATGGATCATTTTACTCCATGCTTTAGGTATTAAATTTATGCCCATCGCTTTGGCATGTGTACTGGCAAGATTTGGAAAGAGGACACCAACTGATCAATCGGCATTCTTATGTTCTTGTGTAATGTGCTACCTATGTAGAAATTGCTGCCAAGTTAAGCTTCACTGTCCAGGAACTAACAATCAACAGCTACATCAACACGTGGCTGTCACCACGGTAGCTGTCACCTAACAGCTACTGAACCTTAGTTAAGACCCACTTTTCTCCAAAGTGATTAAAGCCATTCCAAGTTCTGTGAAAACAGGTTGCTAAATAGAGGAGAGAGAGCACAACCAGTGTCATAGTTCTTACAGCACAATGAAATGCCCAACGGCAGAAAACAAGACGATGATATAATGGAGAACCTGAGTTATAAAAAGATATGAAACAGAAGCACAGAAGAGCACTTGTGGTGGTTCAAACTAAAGGTCTGTCTACACCAGAAGCAGTCTCCAGAAGTGGCCAGAATTTAACAGCAGTAGTATCTCAAGTAGGCCAAGTAGCAGAAAACTCTGTCAGTCTCAAGTAGTGATATGCCTTGCTTAGCTATTACAATTAACACTTATTTACGAATATCACTTCTAATTATATACAGGTGTAAACAAAAGCTGCATCTCTCAAGGCCTGAATAAATTCCTACCAACATGTTGCTTGCACTTAACTAGCCCCACCATTGCAAACCTTCAGGTTAGGATAAAGTGCTCATGAAAAAGCTTGAGTTTTCACTTTCAAACTGTAATACCGTCAGTATTTGTGATGGTGTACATCACAGGTTTGCATTAGGCAAGACTAAAAATCAGAGGAAATGACCTCCACCCACCACTACACAACACAAAGGCATTTCCTTTCTATTTACTGTGACTGCTTTAAAAAGTGTTCATACATCATTTGAATTCTCACAAATCCCAAATTCTCTTCTGAAAACTTTTATAAGATGCAATAATTTGATTCCAACCTCAGTCTTGTAAGCACATGCACTGAATTCCTCTCTGGCCCCTTGCCAAACCACTTCAGTGATTAACAGGCGTGAAATATTTACTTTTCATCCACAGCACTTTCCAAAAAGACACTATCTGGCATTCTACTTTACGGATGTGAACCAAAGAACATCCACTTTCACTTCTGCTGCTCCTTACATACTGAACAGATTCAAAGACAACAGAAACACACACATGCTGCCTTCTGATCGTCAAACTCAAATAAAATCCTATACAAAGGATTTGAACGGCAACACCAAGATTCCTGCAGTATGTGTAACAGTAGTAAATTATTCTGACAGTTTTAAGAAAAAAGCTTATAAAGCAGCTTAACAGGTTGGCTCTTGGTAAGTTTGCTCAGTATTTTAAAGATGGCGTCACTATTAAAAGAGTTGTCGTAATGCTGTACCCTGTATTTCCACCATATTCTTCTGGCCCATTTTTCATTTCAGGCCAAGCATTTTTCACCTCTCTTCTTCCCTCCTTCACCAAGACTCACTCTCTCTTTCTGATTCTTCATTATATTCCCATTTCTTCCTCTGCTTACCACCTCCACATTTCCCTGGACATTCATAACCAGCACACACCACAAAAATATGAAAAGGGAAGCAACAGTACCAGTATATTGGCAAAAAAAAAAAAAAAAAGAATATTCTCTACTGGTGGAATCCTTTGAGCATGCACATCGTGAAATGACAGGGCATTCACCTACCTGCTTCTCTTCTCTGAGAGCAAAAAGAAAGATCAGATCTCTGCATAAAAATTGAACAGAGCTTACTTAGATCCCTTCACCATTTGGTTCTGCACTGAAGTAGTTTGTTACACTTTACCTGGCCCTTGCAACAACCAGATACATGCCAAGAGGATCATCAGCTCCAAACTGGAAGCTGCTCTGCTGAACTAATTTGGTCTTTTATATAAAATACTTTAATGAAAAGTAACAGCAGCTTCTTTATATAAGCACCTCTTAAGCAAATGCAGGAGTGAAAAAAAAAACTTAAAACACAGACTAAATATAAGACTTCAATTTCCATTTTTCTCTCCTCACAAAGACTTTACTTATCACCCATCAGAAGAGATCCAAGTCAGCTGAAATAAAAGGCCTGATATTGAAAGGATATAATTTGGAGGAAGGAAGTTCCAGCTTAAGACCTGATTGGCTAGTGCAAGATAACGCTGAAACACTGAAGACATCTGAGCATTGAGGTTTTCACGTCTGCTGAATTCCTGAAGTACCTCTACTGTGAGCATGAAGATCTGCCTCAGATCATCCTCCTACAGTCAGGACAAACACAACATGTTAATAGAGCCTCTCAGTCATTTTTGTGTTCACCCAAGTTTTCATTAAAGAGCAGAAAATATTCCAAAGTGAGAACCCCCAACTTGTTTGCCAAAACAAATGCAATGTGTCGGTAAATAATAATTAAAATATTTATATAAGTTTAGTCATTAAAGGAAAAACTTAACAATAACTTTTTGACAACTGGTGGAGGAGGGGGATGGTCTTTGGCATGAAAAAATGTTGGTAAGTTGTTCCACAACAGTCAGAGTTTAAAGCAATGCCTTCACAAAAACATTTCTGCCTGGCCAAACAATACATCTGAGACAACCAGACTACACCATCTGCAATAATATTTTTAAATACATAGCTCTCCTTGGCTTTAAACCAAAGCTATATTTAAGACTATCATTGTTCCACAGAGTATTCGTTTTGTTTGCAATTGGTAGCCAAGGAATTAAAGAGTCCAACTGTGTAAAGATCTGTAGCTCCACATTCATCAAATGGGCAAAGAGATGGCACTTTTTTGATACAAGTATTTAAAAATTACATTATCAATTTCCCTAACGTAGCCAATATCTGCATTTATATGTATTAGTCCAATTAAATGCTGTCAAGCATACACTGTAACTGAATGCACCTAGTGCAAGAAAGTACTTCTGCCTCTTAATATAGACTTTAGAAACACAGGTAGCATATATTGATAGGGAAGTAGTTTACCTGAAATATACGTTTACAGTTACCGTGGAACTCCATGCTTAGTCCAATGTTGCTGGTTTTACTTGAACTTGAGAATTCGCTCAACAATGCCGTTAAAATGGAACAGGCCAAAGTTTGCTACAAAAAAAAAGAAAAAAGGGGGAATAATATAACTAAAAGATGTCCAACAATGTAACACCACCTACATTGTCCTTAAGTTACTTTATTTGCATATTTCTGAGGCTATTCTTTCAGTTTCTTCTGACACAAATTAGAACAACTCAAGCTTTCAGGATTACAGATGGTTGGGCGATCCGCCTCTGTAAGCATCCAAGCTCCACCCTTGCACAAGAAATTCAAGTATTTGAGCAGCACAAAAAACTAACACCTGTACAATCATCTCTACAAAATGAAAACAAACACTGCAATCCATTTGCTAGCCTGATAATTTTCTCTCCCCATGCACATGGTTTTACAGGTATTAGAATCAGGGAAGATACAGTTTATACTTTTTTCTACCCATCTAACAGCTCAGATGACTCTGAAGTTAATTTTGGCACTTCTTTGCATTTGCTACACTTACCTTGTTGGTATTTGATCATGATTAAATGTACACCACAGAAAGTGATAAAAGCTATTAAAAAACAGCACCTGCAATGCACCCTCTTTTCCCTCTCCCTCATCAAAAAAGGGGAGGAATATGCAGAAAGCTCTGATGCTTAAAAGCTTTTAGATACTCTCCTCCAAAGCACAAGATCCACAAGCCTCAGAAAGAACCTTTAAAGCTACTCTTTTGGAATGGTGTCCCTGAAGCAATATAAAAATGGGTGAGATAAAACAAACAAACAAACAAAAAAAACCATTAATTTTAGAGAAACATATACATGAAGATTGAAGGTTTAAGTATCATCTTCATTCTCAACATTTAAGGTAAGGTAAATCAAATGCTTATGATAAAACACAATTTAAAAACCAACTTTTCTTTATGAAACACTTTTCCAGCCATAGTTGATATTTTTGAAATAAAAAAAGCTTTTTTTTTTCCTGATGTCGAAGTCCAGTAACCATCATCACCAGTTTTAATAAATTCCTGTAAGTGATTATTAAACACAAAAGAAACTTAAAGCTGTATAATGGGGATGTAAAAAGTACATCAGAAGCGTGCCATATTCTAATGTAATAAACACAATAGAGACTATACACCAATGAAATTAAAACACTTTTTGTTAGACAGACTCTTAACAAAAAACTTGAAGATCACTGGCTATACTCCTAGACCGTTCGGAGCCAAGGTGCCAGGGATGGACAGAGGGATAGGAATTGTTAAAGGGTCATGCATGCCAGCAAGTGTCCAGGGGTTAAACAGAAATATGCACACTACCTCTGAACACCCGAAAGATTAAAGTGGAGATGATACTATTTATGCAAGCTCATACAACAGCTGAGAGCAGTGCCATCCACCCACCAACTGCAACATCTTTGTTCAGAAATGCCTCTGAAGTCAGTACCTTGACCCCCCAGACAACTAGTTATCTTAGCTAGTATACACTAAATTAACATTCTTACTTGCTAAATAAGTCCCAGACAGATCAAACATAGCAGCTTCCTGATAACATATGGGTGTTCTTTTCTACTACACAATCAAGCTGTACAGCAGGCCAGCATATTGCTGATCAGTTGCTAAATCTAAATTTTTCCATTTTAAGGAAATAACTATTTATTTCCAGTAGGCTATTTCAAGCAGGCTATTTGTCATCCAGTCACTCATGATAAAAGCAACAGTTTGCCAGTGAAAAGCATCATACTTTAATTTGCTCCGGCAGAAATGCAATTTTGTCAGTTCTATACAAGATTGAGAGTACTCCTGACTAGCTCAAACATTTCAGTATTTTATTTCCAAATTTCTGGGTAAGCTATTTCTGCAATTAATTATTTAAATTTGCAAGAAGCCCAAAGTTGAGCTGATATAAAAATTTAGGCTAACACTGAGTTTCAAGTCCAACATTAAGAGTTCCATATGAAAAGAATTAACCTGACAAAAACAAACAAAAAAACCCGCACACAACCCATCCCCTCCACCCCCCTCAAAAAAAAAAAAAGAGAAAAGCAATGAAGTTAAGCTCTAGAGCAATGCTTCAGATAAGAATACATGTTTTTAAAGGAATAATGTAGAAGTTTCCAAAGAACACTGCCCGTTTCCATTCTCTGCCAGGAGATGCAGACATCTCCCACAGCTCTCTAAATAATACAGACTTGAATTTATACTTGAATTGCAAACTCACTGATACATCACTGCCTCTCAGAGCTGAAAATTAAGAGCACCAGTAGTTGTAATCACAGATCCCCAGAGTTTGATGCTCCACGATTACCACACGGTATCAGTGGTTGTGCTGCTAAAACTGCTTCGCCAGGAGACCTCCTCAGCATGCTGCCATTCGGAGCAGCACGGGACAAGCAGGGCAGTGATGCAGACCAGCCATCCCTGGCGGCTGGTTGCCAATTACTAGAAAAATAAATGGGTTAGAACAACAGATAAGGAACAAATGGAAAAATTATTTGTTCCCAGTGTGACTAGAAATATTTAGTATCAGCTGAAATTGACATCTTCTTTTGCTTTCTCTACTTTGTTTATACAATATATAACCACTTAGCCCTTCTGTTCAAATAGTAAACACATTAAAGCATGAACAAATTGCATTCTGGATGCAAGTTTCTCCTGATTTCAAGGAGAAATTTAAAAGGAAAGATAAATTTTAGTATTCATGATGAAGAAAGCTCCTCAAGGATGTAAAGAGCAGTGGCTCCCTAAACCAAAAAAAAAAAGAAAAAAAAGAAAAAAAACTGTTTCTGAGGGAACCTGCTTCGAGCCCGATGCAAAAGCTGGAGACATGACCACTGATCTCAGCAACAGGTATTTCAGGTAGTTCTGATCTCGGTAACTGCTCTGAGCATGGAGGGAGGAAAAGCAGCATGTTACTGGAGATCTACACACTTTATTCCTTTCGGTAGCCTCGCTCACAGCAAACACCAGGACACTCTGCAGCCCTCCATCCTCCCTCGCTCCCCAAAACTTTTCCCTCCTGCTGCATTCCCAGCACCCCACCATCTCCTGCCCTGTGGTATTTTGATTCCCGGTGTGCAAGCCCTCCCTGTTCCCTCCTCATCCTGGAGCTGTGGACTCCAGGGGCACGTATGTGCCCTTGTGTCACTACCTGACCCTGCCCCTTTCACCTGTGAGGAGCTGTAAGCGTGTCAGGGTACCCAGGCCACCAGAGCAGCAGCAGGAGGCCAGAGGAAAGACTGTGGCCTAAAATTTAAAATCTACCTCAACAACAGGCAGAGGAGGTTGCCAGACACTGGCTTTCTAGAAGGAAGAAAGTTTACACAGATTACAGGCAAGAGCAGAGGGACTGAAATTACTCTTTGCGAAGAAGAGTAATTTCACTATAGGTTAGCAACTAAAATTTTGAAATATATTTTTCAAATTTACACATATTTGGTACAAAGAATCTCAAAACAAATTGCTGTGGTATTAGAAGAAAGATTCCAAAAACCTGAAAAGCGACACAAATTCATAGAAACACAGTTGTGCTCTGTGAAATGAAATCGCTTCCTTTAACGAAATGAAACTGAATACGCTTGACACATGCGAAGTATTAAATATTTTAAAGGTTTTCTGCCATGCCACTGAGGAGAAGAACAATCCAATTTAATAATACCATACAGTAATAAGTAGAAAATGCACATGATGCCGGGCATCATATTAAAAGTCAGCCCCGAGTGTCTATTGCCCAGTAATGCCATTAACTTCATACCAGTAAGAGTACACCTCTGAACGTGGCTTGCCTCACTTGCTAGCGATTTCACTAGTTCTGCCACCAGTACATGCCCAAACAATAACCCCATCTAACAAAATAAAATACCTCTCTTGTCAAGAGCGGACTGCCTCTGAGAATAGCTTGGCACTCTCCCCAGTTAGCTTTATTACCAGGAATAAACTTTATGAAAGATCGCTATACATAAAATAGACTCTCAGCTGCTCAAACAGAAGATCAATGGGACTTGTGATAAGAGATTAACTTGGCAATCAGACACCCAGTAGTGACATCGTTTTAGTGGGTTTCTTTTTAAATAAACCACAGACACTACGGGAGGGCCACGCACCCTTTTAACAGCAAACATTTATTCATAGTTCATAAAACTCAGATGCATTAGGAAAATGCAACTTATTCCTGCAAAAGGAATGTCCCCTATAACAAAAGCTGAAGCCATAATGTTTGAAGGGATTTCACACTTGTGCCTGGACTGCCCATGGAATAAGTGAACTGCTTCATTTGCGGGTAGTTAGGTTACAAAGCATCTGAAAGGAAGAAGAGTTCAAACGCGGCTTAGGAAAAAATGGACATGTGGTACACCAGCTCCAAGGCAGAAAAGCCAACAGACAAAGCAGAAAACGACACCCCCAAAAATCTTTCCCCTGTTCTGAAATTCAGGCTGTCAAGAGGCTTGATTTGATCACTCATTTCTCTACAAAAAATGAACTACGAGCAACTGCCCCACATTCCCACGTACTATGCAACGTCATTTGTATCTACAGAAAAAGGGAGCAAATATATTTAAAATACTAAAGATCTCACATGTGCAGAGCAAATAAGATCTACCCTGTTACATTAAATCATTGCCAGCCCGAATGTGTACTTAAAGGACTTTGTCTCAATTCTTATACTGTTACTGAAACCAAAGGGAAACACCAAGAAGCATTCAATAACATCCCTAAATCAGCTAGTTTTAATTTGTGTGAAAGCAGGAAGAGTAGGACAGTAGATCTGCTCAGAGGCAGAATTTGTGGTGCTGTTTGTAGGTGACAGAATTCTGTGGTGAGAATGCATCGAATGCAGTTTTACCAAAGGAATTGTTTAAAGCAAGGCTTCCTTTATAAAGGAGGTAACAGGCTTCTTCCCTAACTTTCCTGAATAAGGAAAATGTTGCCTAACATTTTCAGGGAATGTAAATCCCCAAAACATAAGCTGCGTCTCCAAATGCAAAGGTAACAGTTAACAGGATGGTGACAAGACCAAAATACCATTATGTGCACAGAGTAACTGGGGGTCACTCCAGCTTTTCAACCTGTAATAAAT